TATAGAAATCTAAAAAAGATTAATTTTTTTTAAATAATTATCAGGTACTGCTACTTAGTAATTATAATAATTTTAATTAGATTTATATATATACCAGTAGTAAAAATTATAAAATCTAGAAACTTAATTTTTATTATATAAAATTTATATTTATAAGTAATAGCCTGGAAATTAGCTATATAGAAATACTTTAAAATCTAGTATATATAAAATTTAAATTCAGCTTTATTTTTATTAAAGAAATATAATATTTATAAATTTTATAATAAATATAAAATATTATCATATCCTCCAAGTCAGGATTTATATAGATTCAGTAAAATTCTTAATAAATATTAAGTTTAATAAAGATCTTGATATTCTTTAATTAGTTTATTATTTTATTAATTAACAGAATCAGATAGGAGTTTTTTTAAATTAATATATTTAATTTTTAATAATTTATATAAAAATATAAATTTTTTCCAGGCTTCCGCACCATGAGAATAAAAAAATAAATAATATTATATTAAAAATAATAAAATTCTTTTTTAAATTTTTAATAATATATTCCTGAGTTATTCTAAATTCTTTTCAAATTGTTTTATATAAAAAAATTCCTTCCAGCAGATTTCCTTTTCTAATTTTATTTAATAATTATAGAGACAGGACAGCAGAAAAATATCTAATTTTTTTTAAAAAAATATTAATTAAATTATAATAATATTTAAGTAAAAGCTGCTTAATCTAATCTTTCTTTAATAATTTAAAATCCTAATTTATAAAATTTTATTTATTTATAATTATTTTTCAAATTATATTTAAGAATATAATAAATACCTTAAACTTCTAATCTTAAAAATATCTATAAAATATAATAATTTTAATTAATATTTTAAGATATTCTTAGCACGAGGCTTTGGGGGTGGTATAAATTATTAATATTAAAAATTTTAATTATTATAATTTTAATTTATTTTAGTTAATATCTTTTGTAATAAACTTTAATATAATTTTAATAATATTAATTTATATTTAGGAATTAGCACAGGGCATAATTATTTTTATATTTTTTAAAAATATTTATTCTGGTAGATAGTATTCTGCTAATAACTTTAATCTATAAAATATTAATCTAGAATATTTTAAAAAATATAAGATAATAAGCCTGTTTTAATCTTATTTTATAATAAAAATAGATTAAGCCAGATAAACTCATAATATTAATAATTTAATAAAATTTTATATTTTATAAATTATATTCTTTCTAGTATAATATCATGCTGTCTGAAATTAAAAATAAAAAAAATATTATTAAATTATTATTTATTAATAATAAAACTAAAATAAATGGTATGAGCCAGGAGTATAATAACTTTTTTATTAAATTTTATTATAATATATTTAATTATTAAAAGAATTATTTTACTCTAAAAATAACATGCTAGTTTAACTGTGAAGTTAATATTTATATATATAAATATATTAATTTTAGTATTTATTAAAATACAGGCAGATACTACTAGTTTATTTATCTAATATTAAAATATTTATTATAAAATCTTTATTTTTTTAATTTAGTAGAGTCCACAAATCCAGTATACTTATATAAATTTTTATTTTATTTAAAAAAATATTTTTTAATATTATTTTTTATTTATTTATTTTCTTTTATAATTTTTAATTATTTAATTTAAATTATTTCTCTCTTCAAGTAGTTCTTTATTATATAATTTTATTTTCAATAAATAAAATATTATTTTTTAATTATTATATAAACATGGTCCTCGGGCTCCAGATTTAAAATATAATTAAAAATTTAAAAAATTCAGAAATTAATAAAAATAGAAATAATTAAGATAATCATACCTGAGACTGCTAGTAAGGTATAATAAAAAATAAATTAATATTTTTAAATTATTTTATTATTCATTTAATAAAATCTGAAGTACTAATATAAAATTTTATAAATTTATTAAAGTCTATTTTATTATTTAAAAATTAGATTATAATTTTTTTAATTTAAAAATTAATTATTAATATAAATTATTTTTTTAATAAATTTTAATAATACCAGCCTCCACTGCCAGGTATTAGAATATATAAGTAAAATTATAAAATTTATTTTCAGATATTATCTTTAATTTTTAATATTAATATCAGGTGTTATAAATTTTATTCAGGTTAATAAAAATTATTTTTAAATATTTCAGTATATTAGCAGTATTCTTATAAAAATCAGTTATTTTAAAATAAAATTAAAAAATTAAATATTTTTAAATATTTATTTATAGCAGCTGTTCACATATGCATGTTAAATAACTAAAATAATTAAATAATTTATATTAATTTCTAACTTTATTATATTATAATTAGTTAATTTTTAAAGAATAGAATCTTTCTATTTTTAAATATTAAAAAATCAGAAATTTTTAGAAATTTCTTAAATTCTAGAATCTCAGCTCTCTAATTATTATAAATTATATAATATATTATTAATATTATTTATATATTATATTCCTGAAGAGCATTATTATATTTTTAAACAAATTTATTATAATTCTGGATAAGTATATTATATTTTTTAATTATAATATTTAATTCTACTTCTATCTCATTTATAAGATTAAGAACTAGATTAAGAGTCTTTTTAAAATTCTTTTTATATATTTTATTAAATTTTTTTTAAATAATTTTTTATGATTATCATTTCCTCTGTTTAACAGAATAATTAGATATTATCTTAGATTTTTTTCTATATAGAGTAGAGCCAGTCTGGCTTTCTCTAGTTATTATAATTTAAAATATCTATTAATTAATTAATTTCTTTAAAAATTCAGTTCAGGCTGTTTTGTTTTAGCTGTTTTAATATTACTAAATATATATTAAATAAATACTAGTAATCCTGCTGAATAACTAACCACTTACAGTATTAATTAAAGAAAAGAATAATTAGTTATAATATTTAATATTATATAAAAGCTAATTAAATAATTATATTTAATATGTTTAAACTAGAATATTAAACATGAGAGAGAAAAGGAAATAAATATAAAAAAATATATATAAATAATTAAAATAAATAAGATAAAATAAATAGAATAAATAAATAAGATTATGTGTAATCAGCAAGGTAAGTAAAAATTATATCATATGCTAGGTCATGTGCTATGTCATGTTGCTTGCCATCATAATTTTAAACTTTAATTATATTATTTTTTAAACTAGTAATTATCTACTTTTTTATAGTAAAATATAATATCAGTAATATTATTTATATAATTATTAAAAATTATGACCAGATTAGAATTATTAAATTTAATATAATATAATTTAATATTATTATAGCTGGCAGCTACCAAGTATTATTTATTAAAAATAATATATAAATAATTAATTTAAAAATTAAAATATTATATAATATATAAGTAGATTCTTGATAGAATTTTTTAAAAAATTATAAATTTATTAATAATTAGATTAAAGTAGACCTGATAGTTCTGTATTTATTATTATTTAAAAATAATTATTTTTTTTATAAAAATTAAAATTAATAATTAAAGTTTTACTAATTTATAATAAAAACTTGGAAGTTCTCAAGACTTATAAGAAATTATAATTAGATTATAATATAAAGTTATATTTGAAGGTGTATATAAATTATTAATATAATATATTAATTTTATAAAATATATATAATTAAAATAAAATAATAAATATATATTTTTATTAATATCTTTTATTATAAGATTTATATTATATAAAAAACTTTATTTTTACTAATACTAGAGATAATTCTAAATTAATTAACTTAATATAAAATAAAGAAAGTATCTTTTCTTTTTCTTATTAATTATTTTTATAATAAAATTATTTATCTTGATATATTCATTGATGAAAATATAAATAAATAAAATAAATAAAGATTAATTTGAGTATATTTTATCTATACTAGAATCTAAAATCATATAACAGATAAGACTTAGTATTAAGAATAGTTAAAATAATCATTTATTTTATTTTTAGGCTTAACCGCGGCCAGGTATAAGATTTCTCTTAACCTGACTATTAATCTGATAACAGGTATAAACCTTGCTATTAACCTGACCTAACCTGGCCGTTTGCCACTCTATAAAGTTCTGTATTAAACCTTTTATAGAAATCTCTATCGTATTTTTATTGGATTTTGAATTAGCCTGTATATTAGATCTTATATAAAATTCATGTATATATGCTAGTGAAAATCTCCTATATATAGAAAAATTAGGTGGTGATATCGAGTTTAGAATAGTATCTTTTTTAGGGCAGGAGACGGGTGTCCCCGGTGTGAATCCTCGATTTTTGCTGCCGTTTCTCTTCCCGGACTGACCCTCTTTACTCCACAACAACACAGCAGTGACCAGCAGTGATTTGTTTGGCAATCCAGCCTGCTAGTGCCGGACTTTGGTTTCGAACTATTCCAGACCACATTGTCTTGCATTCTTATTCTCATTCCACCTATACCTTTTGAACTATAACTATCTGTGGGTGATTCGTTAAAGGCTCGCTATCGCTGTAACAAAGCCTCTTGCACCTCCATTACACGTATGCAATAGCACCTTCACCAGCTTTTCTCTCATATGCGGCCTTGGCCCGTCCTGTTCTTAGGACAACGGCAGGGGGCACTGGGTCCCAACAAACCACCAGAGACCATTATCCCAAGGCCAATAGACAACATACCGAATGAATGATCCGCAAGCACCCCATTTCGATCGTCTCTCTATAGGTACTAGTATTTCGACCCCTCAAGCTGCATCCAGTTGGCTGTTATTTAGTTTCAATGTTGCTCATAACAGCTCCTGGATAGGCCTGTCCAGTACGTCTGTCACATACTGGCTTACTGAACGTCGTGTTCCCCGCATCCTGCTACTACCGGGTTGATTCACCTCGGTCTTTTATCAAGGACCATACATAACATCAGCTTGGGCCGCCACCGGTCAGGTCGATGTATCCAATCGAACGGGCAAAGTGCAGACTTCAAAATGCCTCAACCACCAATGTCCAACATTATACAGGTATGGCTACAGGAGTTATCATGTACATCTTCAAGCTCACGACTGTTGTCGCCTTAAAAGGACCATTTCACGGAGAAAGCGCCAAGTTTTATCAATAAAGCCAGGTCCAGAATTGCCGAACCCGTTGTTGCTGCTTTCATAGCCGGAGGAGTAGCGGGTGCGGTGTCGAGGACACTTGTATCACCACTCGAACGTCTCAAAATCCTCCTCCAGATTCAGAGTGTCGGCAGAGAAGAATACAAATTATCCATATGGAAAGCGCTCGTCAAAATCGGAAAGGAGGAGGGATGGAGAGGCTTCATGCGCGGAAATGGCACGAACTGTATTCGCATCATTCCTTATTCAGCGGTTCAATTCGGCAGCTATAATTTCTACAAAAAGGTGAGTTGAAAACGAATCCGTACAGGCTTTGAGATTATACGCCTCGAGTGTACAATGCGTTTGAAGTGCGAATATAAGCCATAGAGGGCGACCGGGTTGGAGGTTTGATTAACGTAGACTCTAGTTCGCGGAATCTTCGCCAAATGCCGAATTATCAGCCATGCAGCGGCTTCTTTGTGGTGCCGCTGCCGGCATCACATCCGTGACAATTACTTACCCTCTTGATATTGTCAGAACTCGACTCTCTATCCAGTCAGCGTCATTTGAAGCTCTCAGTCACCGAGGGGTTGGCGAGCAGTTACCGGGCATGTTTACCACAATGGTCTTGATATATAGAAACGAAGGCGGTATTGTAGGTCTTTACCGTGGCATTGTGCCTACCGTTGCTGGTGTCGCCCCCTATGTCAGTAAGCCCGGAACGCTCATACTATACCACCTGTGACTAAGTGCAATTTAGGTTGGCCTCAACTTCATGACGTATGAATCGGTCCGCAAGTATTTGACCCCTGAAGGTGATGCGACACCAGGACCCCTGCGTAAACTACTTGCCGGTGCAGTTTCTGGTGCAGTAGCACAAACATGCACATACCCATTGTAAGCCCCACCAGGAAACATCGATTGCTCCTCGTTATGATTAGCTAATATGAAGGCCACGGCTTCAGCGATGTTCTCCGACGACGCTTTCAGATTAATACAATGTCTGGGATGGGATATCAATATGCATCAATTACGGACGCCGTAAGGGCCATTGTGGCGCAAGAGGGCTTGCGTGGCCTGTTCAAAGGAATCGTGCCAAATCTTCTCAAAGTGGCTCCCAGTATGGCTAGTAGTTGGCTCAGCTTCGAGTTAACCCGGGACTTCTTAGTGGGTTTGGAGAAATGATAGATACAACATCAGTAAATATGGCCACGGCACCCCCATGAATACAAATCACACCTGGTAGATAAAATATGTTCCAACTTTTCTTCTTTACCAAAAAGGGATTTCTTTGTCAGGTGATGGTACATATCATATACCCTCTTTGACCCTGCCGCTATGCATTGTGCAATTTTCCCAATGTCGGGCGATGGCTATGTTCGGCAGAGTGTTCTCGATAATTACGCATGCGAAATAAATAAAATATATTATATAGATATAAAAACCTTGTAGAGCACTTGTTTGATGTAAGGACTTTGATTTGTATAGAATATAATAGTTGACACGGTAGGTCAAGCGAGCTGGAGTGGGTTGTGCTAGACTGTGCGGGGTAAAAGTGGGAAAGATGCAACATATTTATGGATCATAAGCCTACGGACTACGGAGACACTATAGAATTTGTTAGAGGAAGGGCACACGCCTACAGATAAGAAAGATGTGTGGTCCAGAGGGGAATCGGAGGGATCGCTCATTAATGAATCAACAGTATGTGAGGTCAACGTCCAATGATAAATGATAGCAGGATAAATGGAGCTCCCCACTAAAACTATAATTTATTTAGCACACAGTGCTAGGATAGTCAGGATTTAAACTGGAGTAACTAGTACAATGAATGATGCATGCCTTGAATATTGGGCATCAAATGATCTTGGCTACCGTATTGGGACTAGTGTAGGGCTCAACCCGCACACACCGTGCATCTGAAAATCGTAGATTGAAAACCTCACCAGCTTCACCTTGACTACGGGTGCGATAGCCAGCCAACTTTCAGGTGTCCCATCAATAACAGCAGCCATGGGTACGTTCAATTGACGTGGTGATATATTCATTCGCCGAAGAATTTCGCGGGTTGCGACTTCTCTTTTTGGCTCAACACCATGGACAGTTCCTATTCTCACTTGGCGAATACTGATTTTGGGATACAGGTATCGACTTGGACCGCCACCATGTGCGCGGCACCCATCGCAAGGCGCCCAAGAGCGAGAACGTTTACCTGCAAGTCTTGGTGAAGCTTTACCGCTTCCTCGCCCGTATGTCTCCGCCTTCTATGTGCAACCGATTTTCAGCCATGGGAAACTGATGGGTGGTGGAAATTTTGCAGGTCGTACGGAATCCAACTTCAACAAGGTCGTCTTGCGCCGCCTTTTCATGTCCAGGATCAACCGCCCCCCCGTTTCGCTCTCGCGCATTGTTTCCAATGTGACCGACTCCCACAAGGGCAAGACCATCGTTGTGATCGGCACCATCACTGACGACAACCGTCTTCTTACTGTCCCGAAGCTGTCCATTGCAGCCCTTCGCTTTACTGCTACTGCTAGGGCCAGGATTGAGAAGGCCGGTGGTGAGACCTTGACTCTGGACCAGCTTGCTCTGCGTGCCCCTACTGGAGCGAACACTCTCCTCCTCCGCGGACCCAAGAATGCTCGGGAGGCAGTGAAGCACTTCGGTTTCGGCCCCCACAGCCACAAGGCATGTTATATACCCTACGCAGAAATATGGTTTGCATAACTAACCTTGATCAGAAACCCTACGTCCGCAGCAAGGGACGTAAGTTTGAGAGAGCCCGTGGACGCAGAAGGTCTCGCGGTTTCAAGGTGTAAGGAACGCTGGTTAAATATTTTCCGTTTCTTGTGTCTGGTAGCGGTTCATCGTGCTGGTGATGACGACTTGCGGAATCATGCATACCTAGGGGTCTTGCCGGCCGTTGCTCCAACGTTTATTAGAATGCCCGATGCCAGACCGAATATTATGAGGGTTCCAGGCGAGCTTAACTGGATGAAAATGAAAATGGAGTTAAATCATTGAATACCTATAAAGTTTCTCTATTATTGTTCTATATATTACAATAGTAGAGCTTCATGTTTCCACTTTTTACCCCCAACACCATCGAAGTAGTCTCCTGCTCTATGCCCATCACCCCGAATCAGGTACTTGTAAATCGTGAGACCATCTAGTCCCACGGGACCTCTGGAATGGATCTTGTTCGTGCTGATCCCGACCTCTGTGCCAAAGCCATACCTCATACCGTCTGCAAATCTTGTTGAAGCATTCCAGAAAACACCGGCACTGTCGATGCTGCTCATGAAGTAATCCGCAGTGGCCTTTGACTTGGTCAAGATTATGTCGGTATGCTTTGAGGAATGGGTATTGATGTGGTCGATCGCTGCATCAACACCTGAACCGGGAGCAGATGCAGGTATCGTTTTGATAGCAAGGATCAGATCCAGAAACTCTGTATTATAGTCGGACTCGACGGCATCCACGATAGAACTCATTTCCGCAGAGTCTAAAGTATCCGCCAGCGCACCTTTCGAGGGTTCGTCACACTTCAAAGTAACACCCTTCGCCACGAGGGCCTTGGCAACAGTAGGTAGTATGGTCCTCAAAACAGCTTCATTCACCAGCAGGGTCTCCAGAGAGTTGCAAGCGGCCGGATAATCCGTCTTAGAATCGACGAGCACTTTAACGGAAACGTCCAGGTCCGCGTCATGATGTACGTAAGCGGAGCAAAGGCCATCTGCGTGGCCTAATACTGGAATTTTGGTGTTGTCTTTGACGAAGCGAACAAGGTCATTCGACCCGCGAGGGATGACTAAATCAATCAAAGTATCTTGGGCCAGCAAGGAAGAAACCACGTCTCTGGTCTGTACGAGCTGGATAGAGGACTTGGGAACGCGGGTGCTCGATATGGCTTGAGAGATCACCGTCGATATTGCGACGAAAGATTCAGTTGATTCTTTCCCGCCTGTTAATATGGTCAGCAATGCATGAAAACCTAGAGCGGGGATGTGACTGAAACCTTTTAGGATAGCTGCATTGCCAGACTTGATAGACAAGGCAGCAATATTTGCGATCACCTCAGGGCGAGCTTCGAAAATTATCAACAACACCCCAATAGGACAGCTCACCCTCTCCAAAGTAAGACCATCATCGAGCAGTGTCCTCAGAGTCACGTTTCCAACTTTGACAGGTCAGAACGCGCACGCTAAAACAATCGAGTATTCTTACTTGGATCGGTCAAATCCCGCACACTGAGGATTCCTTGCAACATATCATCATATTTCCCCGGCCTTGATAAGTCAAGCCTCTTCAAGACGCTAGAATTCAAATCCCCATCCTCCGCGGCACGGCTTGCCAATGCGACATCCTTTGCGTTGGCGGCTAGGATGGCATCCTTATTAGCCAAAAGACCCTCATACAGCGCCGTTAATGCTTCATTGCGCTCAGCGTTTGATAGGACCGCTAGCCGTCTAGCAGCTACGGATGCAGTGCTTGCGATACTGCCGGCAGAAGACTGTGTAAGCGACATTTGCTAGATTTCACTAAGAAAATGTAAGTATTGGGTAAGAACACAGGAAGTGAGGGGTCACGGATTGAAGTCGGTATTATTACCTAAGCAACAAGTAGACTTTCAGTACTAGTATGTACCCCGTGCACCGAGAAAGTATCCGTTTCGGCCTCTTTGGCTAGTTAATGTTTTGCCCATACTCGGCATTCCGCAATTCATCAGAAATTGTCTAGCACATGTGTTTTACAAATTAGGCCTAATGATCTCGGTGAATGCCCCTTTCAACAGGTTATTGTTTGACATCACGTCACGCTCAGTAGCTTTCTACTGTCAGTATAATGTCGGCCCGATGCCTACAACAACTGTTCTGTTGTGCTGCTGTAACAACCAATTCTAAACTACAGCATATCATGGTTGAATGTTACACTGATATCAAACTCTTTCCCTTGCTCCTTGAGTACTAGTAGTATTCCTAGTCTCTTTATATTTGAATCTGGCTGGGGATATGACATACTCAGTGCCTCACGAACCATGAGTGTGGCTTTTGGTGTTAAAGTGATCGGTCATATTGGTAAGTGAAGTGATGCAGTAGTGAGTATTCTACGTATGTACTACTAGTTCTGTATCTTACCCTTGATTTGTACTGAGGCAAGGTGGTTGCGAGTAAGCTAGTCTGCTCTAGTTAGCTGTTGTAGCTAAGGGGCATGCACCGTGTATGAGGTAATAAGTGGGTGGTACTGTCAAGTGCTACTACTACTACTACTACTTCCCTCTTCAACAACCCGCCGCGCTCATCTTTCATCCTTCATCTGCACTCAACTGGCCACTACTCAGCTACAGGTCGTACAACCCACAGAAGATGGCAGAGATTCTCGCACATCTCACTTCGGCGTCATCTGAACTTCGTGCAATAAATAATACGCGCGATGAAAGATATGACACACAAATCCGTGACCTGGTTGCATACATTAAGAATTGCGATAAGGATCTTGACACTCAATATCTCCTAGATGTAAGCACGGCCAGAATCTTCGCGGGTGAGGGTGGAAGAGCATGGCTAGTGGATTCTTATGCAAGATGGTATATAAGGCATGCTTACGAATATGACCATTTACCTCGCAGAACCTCGATCCGTCACAGCACACGTTATGCTACCTTTTGATTCTCAATACTCAAGTCGACAGTCTACAAAAGCGGACAAAGGAGAATGTGCCAGACGAAATCAAGCCAGGGAATGATTTATGGTCTAGAGTGGCCTATTTTCTTCAACATTTTGATCCAATCCAGGTCCGGTATGCTGGCTATGAGTGGCGCCGACTTGTTGAACTCCTGGCACATGCTGCTGAAGTTACTGCGAAGGTAAGTGCCCTCCAAGCCAACATGAATTGTTTAATTGCTTTATAGTTGACCTCCAATAGCCGTTCCTAGCGGTCCAAGTGATAAAGGAGGCATTGCTTCGACTAAACTCACCTGGTGTCCTTACATCATTGCATGTTACGTTCCTCAGACTTACTCTCCTTTCCAAGTCTTATCATCATGCTTTACCGGTTATGGAAAGATGGGTTTTCCAGTTTCCTACCAGTTCAGTCCAAGCCTACCGCAAGCATATCAGTCGTCCGTTGTGTTCCGAAGACACTTTCGGCGATACGTTCATCTCCGATGCATCTGGCTTCTCTGCAAAGCTGACATACAGAGATCATATGAGATTTTTCCTGTATGGCGCAATGATTTACCTGGCATTAAAGGAATGGGATAAGGCGTTACATTGGTTAAGCATCGTCATATCGTCTCCTGTCAATGACTCTGTCAGCAAAATAATGATCGAAGGCTATAAGAAGTGGATATTAGCTAGCTTGCTGGCGCACGGAAAGGTAGTCAACTTGCAACGAAGCACCCGAATTATGCTTTTGACTGACATACGCTACTGTTATAGTTGATCTCATCGCCTAGAGTGATCTCTGCACACGTTTCGAAAGTATATCAAACGTTAACAAAACCCTACGCATCCTTGGTCGACGCTTTTGAGAGGGGTGACTATCCAAGGTTGAGAGCTGAGATCGACATTGGTCGGTCAGTTTGGCGTACTGTACGTTAGCAGATGGGAGTACAATTGTCACGTATCGGTTAGACTGACATTCTTCTAGGACAATAATGAGGGCCTAGTCTCTCAGCTGTTCTACGCTTACAATTCGTTTCTTGTTATCAAGCTAGGCAGGACTTTCTCGGCTCTCACTGCAGCGGATGTGGCACAACGCACGCTTGCACCATTGGCATTTTCTGCAAATATCGAAGACTTCGTGGCGTTGCTCGTAATGTCTGGCACCCTCAGCGCTACGCTAGTGCATCTGCATGGTCAAGCAGATGCAACAATGCTTCGGTTTTTTGCGCGCCGTGAATCGTACCTCAATAGTGAAATACTGATGCGAACACGATTGGTCGAAGAGGCTCGGGTACTAGGACTAATAACGAAAGATGCTAACCAATGTAGCAGTGAGTTGCAGCTGGGAAATGAAAGTCTTCAAGTCTTATCTAGAAATCAGAGGTGGCCTGATGCTTCAAGGGTCAGTGGCGATGCTGTTGGAGAACTAAATGGTGGTCTGGAAATTGATGAAGACATCATGGGAGATGGCACCTGAAGTATGAGGAAACATCGGTGAATGTCATGCCCAACTTGCCCATGTCCAATAGCGGATCTAGAAACAGGGCTAAGGTAATATGTATTCCAAGCCGACTTTTCCCAACAGTCCTGCATTTGTAAGACCCGCCTATCATGGGGGTTCGATACATCAATTGATGATTTCCCTTCTTGTTCAAATCACTGCCTCCTAAGGAATATGCCGGCATTATCATCAACAGCTAACATATAAGCTGCGACGTCTACCATATAGCTCTTTTACCACAGAGTATACTAATTAGATATAAATATGGTCATAGTACGGGGCACGCATCAAAGGCCCTAGCTCAAGAAATTTAGAGGAATCCGCGTGAACAGTGAATGATCTACGCCCGTAGCTAGCTCATGCGTTCGACGCTTATGTCTCAGGTTACATAAGTTGGACATCACGCGCTGGCATTTAACCCTTCTCTTACATGTCCTGGTTAAGTGCGAAGCACATAGAACTACCGTTCATTACATGTAGGTAGGTCGAACTATGATCAGCATGCAACACTATGTCCAAATTTGCTATGCAGCCCCCCCGGGCCTCCTACAAAGCATTTGCGACATCATGAAATGGCACACGTCTTCATCAGACCAATAGCTGAGATGGCTAGCAATACTAGCAATCATTGATATATCGAAGGCCCCCCTGTGACAGATCAGCGTTCTGTAACTAGATTTGAGATATTGTAAAGCATCCAAAGTGATAAGCAGGTGCCTTACTCTTGTATACTATAGTCAACCCTTCCATTGGAGTTCAAAGTCCTCACTTTCGCATCTTCAATCATAAGTCTCTTCCCATGATGATCGGTCCCAAGTGATTCAAAAGAGTCCCCTACGTTGCTCTGAGAATCCCTCGGCTTGCCGCCCTCCCCGGCCTTACGATAACCCTCATAGAGTGTTTCTAAATTTGAGTCAATGAGAGTAGGATTTCTGATATCTTCTGTTTGATGAGAAGAGCCGGGGTCAGAAGCCGATGATTGTGATTTCTGGGCATGCAGAGTTGTATTAAGGCCTACTTCGGAGGATGCAGTATCTTCCGAAGTAAGACCAAGGCTTCGGTTAAGCAAACTGCTTGCGACACCGGATGTGAAGTTCGTCCACAATGACCCCACACTTTGTCCGACACGACTGCTAATCAATGATAGACTCTGACCCGATGTCGTCCAAATTCCTCTCTTGACTGACGGCAATGGCTGAGGTTTGAGTGATGACATTGCTGGTGAAATGAGAGGCTCTAGACGGTAACTAACCGGGTCAGAAGGATGGAAAATATTGAACAATTGTCGGCATTTTGGAGAGGATATTGAAGTCAGAGTGTGATGCTGAAGCTTGTCATTTCCATAATCATGAAGCACAGAAGAGCTAGATTGCGACTTGACTGTCCCGATTTCACCTTCGGGACGGGTTGATGATGCATGTTGCCTCTGTGGTCGCCCAGCAATGGTTTTTCCCTTGAGCATCTGGAACAGTGCTATTGGAGACCCCAAACAGAATAAATCATCACAATTAAAGTCCAAATGATCGCCCTGGATTACTTTATCACAATTCTCGTCATAGCCACAATGCGAGGCTTCAGTAGGCCGTGAATTTTGCTGTTCATGACACAGTATATCAAAAAGGATGGCGCTTCCAAGTGAATGCCCACAAAGGCTTACAGAGCCACGGAAAGAAGGGTTTCGCTTTTTGAAAAGGTCCAAAATCCGGTTGCACTCCTGCTTGACTATCCGAGAGATATGCTCACAGTAATCACTTTGGTAGAGAAGCACATCCATCGCCAAATCTGAGATGAGGCCTCGAACTGCAGGAATATTGTCAAGTGTTATATCGGACAAGCTCGGATATGGGGTACTCTCGGAGCCTTTCGCATCACCCAGATCGAATTCTGTACGGGATTGGTGCTCCTTATGATATGGGAAGTCCAGAAGATGTCTCCAGCACCTGGAACCTATTAGCCCTGGCACGCTAATAGTCTTCCCGGAAAATTAATTGTGAAGATGGAGAAAATGTCTAATGGTGGTGGGGCAAAGGTCAAAGCACATAATCAACTTTGAGACACAAGGCAGGGTGCTACTTACACCGGGAGAACCTGGATGCGGCAGTTTTCGTGCTTGTCCGGAAAATCAGAGTTAAGAGCCTGAAGATCAGGAGAGGCTCTGTACACACTCTTTAGAGTTTTGCGCAAAACGTTGATGTCATGTATGAAGTTAACACTCTCTAGACGCATGCCAAGTCGCTGACCGATTCCATGAGTGACCAAGACTAGGTGATCGATTTCCCGATCTTTATCCTCAACCTTTCTGGAATCCTCCATTTCCCTTTGTGCTTGCTTGCGTGCTCGCTCTTCGAGCTCAGCCATATCCGTTGAAACGCGTTGCTCAACAGTCGGTTTTTCCTCGACCGAGATACCTTCATCGTCCGATGTTTGGTAACGAGACGTAAATGGTCCACCCATCTGTGAAACTGTCCTTTCTTGAGTATCCCCAGGCAAGACCTCTTGTAATTCTTCCCCAGATGATTTCATTTCGACGCAACTCTTATCCTCCGCCTCTTTCTGTTTGTTCGTTTCGTTATAACCACGTACGAGCTTCGTCCCTGGAATGCCACCAAGCTTTTGATAGACCGTTGTGCTCACCCTGGACATGAAATCGTCGTTCACCAGTAACGCTGTCTTAGAATCCTGATAAGTCACTATACTATTCATATAAGCACCAAACAGACGGTATGTTTCAGGTTCATTCCTAGCCACAGGAGTTGTATGCCCCGAATTCTCGGACTCATTGGAAGACCCGGGTACTGTAGGCAAAGTAAGCCTCCAACTTCGCGAAGACATAATTTCAATATCACCTTTTTCATTGTCATTTGTTCTCACAGGAAACTTAGCAGAATAGGTAGGGCTTGTATACCGCCATGGCTTTGACTTGAGATAACCCTCTTCAAGCTGGGTAGCCAAGTTTTCTTCACATGGTTTTGTTGTCGACCCGTCTTGAAAAAACCAAGTTCCGCGACGAACTTCGTAGACGGGGCCTATCCAGTAGGCCGGCCGAAGCTCCCTTTGTTCAATAATAACATCAAAAAGCGAGTCTTCATTCACAGGAACCTTGGTCGGCTCGGACGACGCACCTCCTACCGACCTGCTGTATGAGTCATGCTCGTTCTCGACATCCGACTGTAAAAGTGCTTGAAATGCATCTTCGACGGCTTCAGAGTCTCTGGAAATGAACGGGACAAACTTCTTCGGGGGCGCTAAAGGTTTCGAGTCACCCTTTTGATCGCGGGGCCCGGGCTTCCATTTGGGCGAATCCACAGCATAGAACCACCTAACCTTCAGCGGAGGACAGTCTTTGGGGTAGCGACGCGGACTCAACCCATGTCTATGTGACACTGTATGGTCCTCTCCTCGAGAACGTTGTAGGAGGTCTTTCGTACCGTTGCCGGGCTGCGGGGTCGTACTTCTAGGGGGTTTACCCGGAGTAAAGGCCCCAAAGAAAGTCCCCTTTTGACTGTCTTTTGACATCAAGCTCTTAAGAGCCCGGTATGACGGAGCACGAGCCAATGCGTTTGGTAGCGAGCAAGTGCGATGGCTATTAATATGGTGGCAAGGCGGTTAGCATAGAAGAAGGCCACGTAGTTAGACAGCGCGATGGTGATATAGCCAATAGTTAAGGTAGACCAAAGATACTCCAGAGGATCAAAGCGCGAGGTTGGTGTAAGCTGACCAGATATAGATCTATTCACCGTTGTTCTCCTCGTGCTTATACTGTCTTTAGTGCGTGGTCAAATAAGCATCTCAGAGCCTAGACAACGTGAAGCTGCACCGAATTCTTGGCAAAGCCGAGCTCCAGGGTTGCAAGGAAACGACCATTTAATCGGGACACATTTACGGTAAGTCGCCGGCGTGGCAATGAGGAAACCCATGAAGCAGCCATCGACCGACTGGACTGCATTTAGATCCTGTCAGGGGCTACGCTACTGTATATCTACAAGATAGGCTACCCCATGTTCGACCTAGGATCACCTCAATAGACTTAGCAGGAATAACACTGCGTACGGACTGGTAACTACTTACTACTTACTAGTACTGACCACTGCAAAGACCGTAATTACCATATAATACAGAAGAAAGTATGGCCGTGCTGATCATCGGGTGCCACGCGATTTATTTTTCATCCATCCATGACCATGATGGTGCAAATAAGCCGTAAAATGACCAGGACTACAACCTTCAGATCCATCCACGTCATGGAATAATTTTGTAGGTATTCACATTGCTAACTAATGAAGAGACCTGAACATACAAGGTGATCGACCCTTACCTGTCGGCTAATATCTACAAAGTACTGTACTACAAAAGCAGTACGTAGCAGTACTACTCCGTATTCGCAACCCCCACCTTTATTTCCCCACTTTCCTAGTAGGTAGAGGAAAATAGCGCAACTACGTACCTAGGTGCCTAAGTACGCCGTGCTTACTCCATTATAATAGTGCCGAGTGAAGACTGCCAACTTCTTCTTGTACCCATCTTTGATTCGAATTACATCATCAGATCGGTGACCCCTTCTATACTGCTATATTCATACGCTCACAAACCCTATTGTAATACCATTGACGTCTCCTCACCAAGCTCTTAACTTGCCAGTCTGTATTGGAAAGTACCTGAGCAAACCCCCTGAGGATGAACGTGATCAAACTCCAAAGGCAAGTCGATGGCTCCGATAGAAAACCCCACCATTCGAGATAGTTATTGCCCGGCGCCGACTGACTCTGCAGCGCAGAAAATATCCGCAGTTCGAGCAGTCGGAGATCTTCTCCCTCCAAGATGCTTTTCGAAAGCTGGATGTTGATGATAAAGGCTCCTTAGACGAGGCAACCGTTATTAAAGCCACCCAACAATCAGAACGAAAGCCCTATGATGTTGTGCGTCAGGCCTTGAAAGAAGTTGAACTCGACAGCTCTCGCCGAGTCGAACTCGAAGATTATGTGGACGTCAGTATGCCACTATTGCTGTGCTCTTTTGGTCGTCCCTCTGTACTGTGGTCGCTAAGACAAATCTCAACAGCTTATTTCTAAACTTCGCTTTGCCTCGACGCAAAACCAGGTGGCTTCGGCTCCTGCACCAGTCCTTCCGGGTAATGGAGCCGGCCCGTCTCGACATGTCTCCAAAGGCAGTATAGGAGGCAGGATTCATGTCCAAGGTTCCTCGGCGAATGTGACACATACGATTAACGAGGATGAGAGAACAGAATTTACTAGGCACATAAATGCTGTTCTTGCTGGTGATCCAGACATTGGTCACTCCCTACCCTTTCCCACCGACACGTTCGAAATGTTCGATAAATGTAAGGACGGCTTGGTCTTGGCGAAGTTGATCAATGATAGTGTCCCGGACACTATTGATGAGCGCGTTCTGAACAAAGCCGGGAAGAAGATCAAAGAACTGAATGCATTTCATATGACGGAAAACAACAACATCGTGATCAATTCAGCCAAGGGTATTGGCTGTTCTGTTGTGAACATAGGAAGCGGCGACATCATAGAAGTGCGTGAGCACCTTATTCTGGGATTGATCTGGCAGATTATCCGCCGCGGTCTTTTGGGCAAGATTGATATCAAATTGCACCCTGAACTGTACAGGCTCCTGGAGGAAGATGAAACATTGGAGCAGTTCCTACGCCTTCCACCGGAGCAGATTCTTCTCCGTTGGTTCAATTATCATCTGAAGAACGCAAAATGGAACAGAAGGTACCTTACACTATCCTAGCAGGAGGTTTCCAGCTGTGAAACTACGACCAAACCTACAATCCTAGAGATGCAACCGACTAACTCTGTTATAGGGTGACAAATTTCTCATCTGATGTTAAGGATGGTGAAAATTACACCGTGCTTCTGAATCAATTGGCCCCGGAGACCTGCTCGCGGAGTCCTCTTCAGACTCAGGATGTTCTTCAGAGGGCAGAACAAGTCTTGACGAATGCGGACAAACTGGGCTGTCGGAAGTTCCTGACACCCTCCTCGCTCGTCGCAGGGAACCCTAAACTGAACCTTGCTTTTGTGGCGAATTTGTTCAACACTATTCCAGGCCTCGACCCAATCACCGAAGAAGAGAAGCTTGAAGTTGAAGATTTTGATGCTGAGGGTGAGCGGGAAGCCAGAGTTTTCACCCTGTGGCTCAATTCTCTTGACGTACAGCCCGCTGTCAATTCTCTATTCGATGATCTTAGAGATGGAACTGTATTGCTGCAAGCATACGACAAAGTGATGCCTGGCAGTGTCAACTGGAGACACGTCAATAAGCCTCCGGCTTCCGGGGGAGAAATGATGCGTTTCAAGGCAGTTGAGAATACTAACTACGCCACTGAGCTTGGGAAACACGTGGGATTTTCCTTGGTAGGTGTACAAGGAGCGGATATTACTGATGGTCAACGAACTCTCACGCTTGGTTTGGTTTGGCAACTAATGCGCCGGGATATCACAAATACACTCTCGGGCCTAGCCAAACGTATGGGCAAGCGCGAGATAACAGATTCGGAGATGATCAAATGGGCAAACGAAATGTCGCACCGCGGTGGCAGATCCTCATCGATACGCAACTTTAAGGACCAGTCGATCGCTTCAGGCCTTTTCCTCCTTGACGTGCTCAATGGCATGAAGAGTAGCTATGTCGACTACGATCTCGTAACGCCTGGTCGGAACGACGAGGAGGCATACGCAAACGCTAAGCTGAGCATCAGCATAGCGCGAAAGCTAGGTGCCACAATTTGGTTGGTACCTGAAGATATTTGCCAAGTGCGCTCTCGCCTGGTGACTACTTTTATCGGTAAGTTCCAAAAACTTTGGCCTGTGGCGAGCAGCATCTATCCTACTAACACCATATGACTAGGCTCTCTGATGGCCACATACGAAAAGATGCAGTGATGGCTCGGTGAAGATGTACACCAGCGGTGCACCGCGCTTTTTCCTATCTACTCCTTTGTGAATTCTTACTGTCTTCAAAGTATATGTACGTACTAGTCACGATGCAGACAATAACAAGATGCTTCAATCCCCACCAACTTTCGTCTTGGAATGGCTGTATGTAAGACAGAATTGTGTACGAATGTGGGCATTCCCACATGCCATACTTCCTATTGCCTTGATAGCCGATAATTCTGACTCTACAACTGCAAAGTCGTCCTAGTCATTCCACCAAGTGCAAGGAAAACATAGACTAGAGTGTAGCCTTCAGTCCAGACTCGTGATACGGCAGGTCAATACTTCATGAATATCTTCCGGATTTCTCTTACCTTGTATTCTCCCCACAAACATGACGACCAATTCTACAGACTACAGAGTTACAATCGTTTTCGAAGCGGTGTTGCAGGATATGCACGAAGTCGACCGGTCTTCCGAGACGGTAAAGGTCAATGATCATCGACTATATTAGAATGCGAGCTCAAGACGGGTAACGGATCGCTGTTGATCGTGACGAAAGGACGAAACAGTCTGGCGATACGATAAACAAGAAAAAGGCCCGCTCGACGTTCGTTCGGTCATGATTCGAGCTGCTGACCATGATAAATACCAATGTTAAGCAATAGTACCAAAGCCCCAATGCCTCGTATCTTTGCGCCAGCACTTCCAGGAGTTGGCCCCTTCGCGTTCTCTCTTTGCTAATGAACACTGCAATTTAGAAGGATTAAATGGCAAAGGAAAGCACATAGGAAGAATTAATGCAAGGAAAAATGTGGAAAGCAAGACAAGAGAGCAATGGAATGAAGAGAAGAACCCACGAGCATGGGGGGTGGAAGAGGGGAACGGCAGCTTGGGGGAGGGGTCAGGAAAATAGCGCCAGTATTGAACAGCGATAGAGCGAATTAAACATCCAGGTCGATCACCAACGTGCACTGATGACATCTTAAGCTTCAGGTTATACCCCTCGGGCCTTGAAAACAATCCAGCACAGATTGAGGTCTTTGGCCAGGTGTATGGTACGAGATCTGATAGTTCATGAAGCCAAAATAACCTACTCGGCTGTATCAAGCTCATCATGAGCGGAAGTCAAGGGTTCTAAGGGGACTGCGGCAAATGATCAGCCACGACTAGAAGTGGGTGCATGCATCAATGAGCATACCTTTCCTGTCTTCACCATTGGGGATATTCTCCCGCTCGTCCTCGCGTCGTTCACGATCGTCATCACGGCGCTCCCTTTCATCCTTGATATCGCGGTCCCTCTCATCAGGGCTTCGAGAGCGGTCACGGGAACGTTCACGGTCCCGGTCGCGGCGATCATAATCCCGGTCACGGCGATCATAGTCGCGATCGCGGCGGTCATAGTCGCGGTCATGTCGGTCATAATCCCGTTCGTACCTGTCATCCCTTCGGGGAGAATAGTCGCCACGACCACGTCTAGGAGAAGGAGAGCGGCCACGTCGTGGCGGAGTACGGTCACGTCGCCGGTCCCGGCCAGAGTCAAAACGCCAAGAAGCAGATGGAGGAGTACGCGCCCACTTTAACCATGTCAGCCAAGTTATGGAATCCATAGTCTTCTACTCACCTCAATTTTCAACAGATCATCGCGGCCAATCCGCTTATTATGCATTTCATGGTATGCATCATCTGCGTCGCGGCGGCTCTCGTACTCCACAAAGGCAAACCTTATGTCGTGAGCAAGTATCATTCAGGGTTCGAAGCCTCGATTAAACATACAGTCTGCTGGAAGGGGTACGCGGCGCTGGGATGTCACAGCGGACAAGACGTCCATATCTAAGTCATTGTTAGAAGAATTTCCACATACATATCAATCATTAAATATATGGTGCAAGGCAACTGTGAGAGGAAAACTCTTTCGGAGGGTCCCCCTTCAAGGAGTCCCCTCTCCAAGGAAATCGGATAAACAAGCAAATCTCTATCATAGTATGATATAGAGAGCGGCACCGACGTCGGTTTGCGGGACTCAGCCGAGGTGAATTGCGAGAATGGACACGGGTCGTATAGTCATGGTAGCGCGTAGCAATCGATGAGCGGCACGTACCGTTCGAATTCGTAGGCAAGGTCGCGAGCTCGGGTCCCGTGCCCGAAGCCGGTGACATAGAGTGTAGTACCAGGTCGAGACATTGTGTGTCAGCCAGTGAGGTTGTGTGGTTGTATGCTGAACTGGGTAGGCAAATCAACAATGGTGGTGTGGATGCGAGTGAAGCAAGAATGGGCAGGATGTAAGGAAGTCAGAGACAATTCAGGAACTACAGCTAAGTTTGTATGCCACAAGCGAAGTATCCAGGGATGCTCTAGTTGCCTATTACATAATGTCTGAGTCAGTAATTTAACTCAGAAACGGATAACTACAATTGATATGTTACTTGCGATAAATTACATGAGTAACATGATATGTCTCTTGATATAACCACGCTGCAGATAAATAGAGAGAGCCCTTTAGGTTGAGTATATGCAGGATGTTGCCTCGTTTCTTACCTGAATGACTGAAGCCTCACATCAACTAAATAGTCAGTCTAACACCTGAGGCTAGGACGCTGATAGTTGCCGGGATATTAATCATCATTTAACGTAAACCACAATCGCGCGGCCTGTACAATCGCGCAGCCCATCAAATATTACCATATAAAAGTCATTTTTTTAATCTTTAATATCTCAACCAATTTTGAAAATAATGGTTTTATCTTAGAGTAATAGGTTAAGATAATTAAACATTTATTTTTTATTATTTTTTCAGATTGCAATAACTATATATAACAGCTGGTAATATAAAATACCAGTAATTTACTTGTAATTTAAAATAACTCTGAAATTAAATATAAATAAATTATTTAAAATTATTTGAATGCTTTGAATATATTAGTTTTATTATTATTAATCTTTATTTAACATTGTAGATTTATATAAAATGTAGTTATCAAGATATTATAATTATTATAAAAAATAAAATTTATATAGTGTTACAAGATAGGCCGCGCGATTGTATGGGCCGCGTGATTGTGGTTTACGTTACTGCAGCATGTCTGTATTGTATTAATAATACAATATGCTTCTCAAGTTAGTTAGCTTGGGACTGGGTTATTACGTACTCAATGTTACTAGTGTCTAGTTAGTCAACAGCTATATCAAGCTAACATGCCGCCCTTGCAAAGAACCAAAATTTTTCGTCTTTCGAAAATTTTCTTGACTGCACATTCTTTGATTTACTTCAAAACGCGACAGCCTCTTCCAACATGAATGCTGAACTACAACAAGTTCAGAAAGTGTGGGAGCGTATCCGCACTAACAGCCCAATTTATGCTTTTCTACTTCAGGACATTGACATCTATGATGCTGGGAAAGGTGTATTCAATGCGAGACTCCAAGTCGGCCCTCAACATTTGAATTCAAAGGGTACCTTACATGGCGTATTTTCAGCCTGTGTCACTGACTGGGCGGGTGGGTTAGCGATTGCATCGGCCGGTCTCGATTCAACAGGTGTCAGCACGAATATTCATGTCAACTATCTCTCAACAGCGAAAACTGGAGACTGGCTAGTGATTGAAGGTCGCGCCGACAAAGTCGGGCGAAACCTTGCTTTTACAACTGTGACAATTTCAAAGCAGACTGACTCTAATGGGAGTACAGTTGTTGCACAAGGATCTCATACCAAATATATCAAGACACAATGACGGCTTCAGACAGGCTTGTGAATGAGTTGTGATCGGGCTAGCAGGGAGAAAAACACGGTGGTTTCTGCATACGTCCATATAAACCGCAGTCTTCTTTGCATCTGGCATGAAACGCATATACTTTGAATGCTGGATTCACTCGGATTGCGCATAGCAATGTCCATCCTTATTTGCTTTAGATACCTTGTCTTTTACTGGTAATGCAAGGTAATTTTGGATGGGTACACAGCACTATATAAATGAATATAATTCTCACGGTTCAACTACAAGTAGAGTTTCCTTCAGTTTTATTACCGAAACAGGATTTAGTACTGCTACGCATGATTAGGCTTATCACTTATTCCAAGCCCTGAACTTCTTTTGGATTCTGGGCCCCAATGGTTGACAGGAGTACGGCACCACCAGAGTGTCGTCTCTCCAGATGTTGTGTTTTGGTTTCCGTGCGCAAAACGTATCTTAACGCCGTCTCCAACAAGGAGCAAACACTCAAGCCTCACCACATCCTAGTATCCCATACGCAGCGTTGACATCGGCTGGTTAAGTTTCTGATGGCAAGTTCTTATCAAGTACGGGCCAGGGAATTCGCGTACTGTGTCCATCGTACGGAGTACTGGTACCACTAATCCTGCTCCTATGTTAGACCGATATGCGCAGGTCGCATTATTTATTTTAGCTACTATATATGGCGGACTTAATCGACGATCACAAACCTATTTGGAAAATATGATTTTATCCCATTTAATGTTACTGGTACAAATAGATTTGAGCTGATTTGCACATCCTGAATATACATTACTCGTGGTTTTTTTTTACTACTTGGTAGACAAAAGTGCTAAGTATGTAGTAGCACTCTATAGCTATACAAGCTCGTGATTCCCCGGCCGGTTGTATTAGGTAACCAAAGCGGACATGCCGATCAGATAACCAGATGTTAAAGGACAACCGAGCTTCCTGACGACGCGCAGCCTTGATCATTCGCGAAATCTTGGTTTTCCTTCTCCTCAATAAATCTGCAAGCCTGCGTTACGGTCAATGCGATCATCTAACAGAGCCAATCGCCATGGATGAGACTTCCAACTGGGCGGAACAGTCACAGCCCAAGAAACCCGAATTAGCTGAGACTTCTAACGTTGGTTTGCCGACGAGCTACAGCGAGCAGGCTGCGACGGAGAGTCTAAACCCTGTGCGATCAAAAGGAGTCATTGAATCGACACTTCAATTTCTCTCAACGGCCAATAGTGAGACTCTTCTGGGTGTCTTCGCATGCTTGGTAGGCGCGACGCTCGTACTTTTTGGAAGACTAGGTTTGCTCTTGATCGGAATTGCTAGTGGTATCGTCTTGCACGCACAATGGGAGGCAGTTTATGAAGACCCTATCCATCCATTATCCAATCCCCGACAGCGAAGGAGAAAGGAGCTCGCCCTGGACATAGCCAGAAGACTACTCGATTGGCCGAAAAGTACGACCTTGGCTGCCGATGCTGAACAAGATGACACTGGGCAAGTATTCCTCTTCGGGGACTCTTCCTCTGCTGATCTTGATTATTCTGCTCTTGGCCCCAAGACAGCGGATGCCCTGAGATCAATCACCGATGCAGTTATGAAGGACTATGTGATGTAAGCTCTCGCCTATAATGCTACTTCGTGAGCTTACCAGACCTCGAAAAGCTCCTGGTCTAGTCCAATATTACCGCCTGAGACAACATTTCATCTGGCATGCAGGAAGTTGTTGGCCGAGTTTATCTCGTCCTTATCATTGCACCTCTCTCGTAAACGCTCTGCTGACACCTTTTTGGAACTCCTCACTAACTCATCCTCACTGATCATTGTGTTTTTGAATGAGCTTTCTGCAGCATTCGAGTCCATTGGCTCCACTAAACCGCCGGAAGAGGTAGTCTTGCGCTACATAGAGACCTCCCCTGAAAGTGGCCTGGCGAATATCTTAGCCAACGACCAACAGAAGAAGAAGCTCGACATTATAGCGGACGATATTTTGGCCAGATTTCTTGACCCGGATGTCTATGGATGTCTGCTGCTCAGAAATTTCATGCGCGAAATGTTCGTGAGCGTTCTATTTGAGTCAACCGTTTCGAGTCTTTCGAGGCCAGAAATCATCAATGGCTGGATTATATATCTTTTCAGTGAAGGCAAGTCAGACATAATGACTGCAATAGATGCCGGTGTGGAAGGGGCCCAGGAACAAGTTGTGACAGCAACTAGAGAACTCAACAGCGTAAATGAACTTCCATCCGATACAACGCGCAACACGAGCCCAGACTTCAATATCACTAGGGATATAATACAACATGAAATGGCAAATGTTGACAGGGCAACAGTGGAAGCCAAAATAGAGGCGAAGCGACTCAGTGACATGATCACGGCGCATGATCAGCAGAAGCAAAGCCCAGAGAGAGCACTGGGAAACGATGTGCAGGAGGTGGCATCGGATGACAGGATTGATCATAGAGAAGTCTTGCCTGCAGACGAGATCGGAGACGGAGATTTGCAACGCAAAGTCTCAGGTTGTGATCAAGCAAAGCATATTGAAAATAATATCGATTCCAACGTGGAAGAAAATAACAGCTCGTCTCCTTCACTCATGCAATTCAAGAGTCCAACCGCACCGACTTCGCTACCGGAACCAGCCATCCTTCATCGTGCATCCATAACGGTAGAAACCGAAGCTTCAAAGGTCACATCGAAAGGCCCACTCCGCTCAAAGCCAACGTCGGACTATTTACTGCAAGTTGAACCTGTATCGACACGGTCTACTGGGTGGATGGTTTTCCGAAAATATACCGATTTCGAATCGCTTCACCAAACTTTGGAGGCTATCTCGAGACTGCACAAACTACGGAAGTTCGCAGACGATCACCCAGTTGTACCCTCGTGGAGAGGCCAGACAACATTGGAATTGGCTAAGAACTTGGAATGTTATCTTCAAGATGCTCTTAACCACGAGTCTCTGGCAGAGAGTGAAAAGATGAAACGATTTCTTGGCAAGGATGAACATCTTGGATCGGACTTCAGTAATCCTTACGGCAGGACTGGGTTCCCCTTTCCAAGCCAATCTGCACTCGAGAATGTAGGAAAGGGAGTGTTGGGCGTATTATCCAATGCACCCAGAGGCGTCTCGGGAAGTGGCAAAGCCATGTTGGATGGTATGACAGGGGTGTTTGGTGGAGGCAGCAGTAAAAAGCAATCACCGGATTCAGTGGTAGGCGATAAAGCCAGGCCACTAAATCCTGTCAACCATAATGGGTCAATCGATCAGGTGTCAGAGGGGAGACCTCGGAATTCTACGAGGATTGGCTCGGCTTCCCCACCGGACGGATTTCACACAGACAAGGCATTTGGGAGGCCAGCTCCCCCTCCTGAAGAGGCTTTTTCGAATAAATTCGAAACGGCTACGGACTATGCAGGATTTCCCGACAGCTCAGCTCAGACGACGGATGTAGGAAGCACTGTGGCTTCTACACAACTGTCTCCTTCAACCGGGCGCAATACTTCGGCTGACCTACCCCGGTCTCCTGGCGGGACGCAAGATAATTCTCACGCCAACAGCGAAGGGCAAGCACCAGACGCTGAATCAAGCGAGTACAGAAGTCAAGGCAATCCTATCACGCATGAAGAGACTCGCATAGCAGTGGAGCTCATATTCGCGGTAATCAATGAACTATACACCTTGTCTTCGGCATGGAACATACGCAGGACTCTACTTAATGCGGCAAAATCGTACATATTACGCCCCGGAAATCCTCATTTGGAGACGATCCGTGAGCTGCTCCAGGTATCGATGATTGATTCGCATACGTCAGATGAAGCAATTGGGCTATATCTCAACAAGTTACGTGAAAATGCTCTGCCAACGGAAAGCGAGTTAAGAAACTGGCCGCCGCCATCCACTGATGCTGAGAAAGAACGGCTGAGGGAGACGGCTCGCAAAGTCTTCGTTCAGCGAGGCTTACCCCAGGCTCTTACGAGCGTTATGGGAGCAAATGCCAGTAAGGAAGTTTTGGGGAGAATATTCGATTGTCTGCAGGTTCAAAATCTCGCTAGGGGGTTTGTATATTCTCTTTTCTTGCAGGCTCTCAAGACTGCTATCCTCTAATATTAACATCCGGGCCCCGACTCGCTGAGTATTAGCGATCGTTAGCGATCACAAGAATCCCGTCGCATGTATGATACCAAGATTAGTTCCTTTTCGCATCTCTAGTTAATTGAACATCACATGTTGTTTCGGTAATATAAACTTCATTCATTGTATGATGACTGTAATTGAATGTTCACTATTTGATTTGGGTCACGTGATATACGTACCACATTGACGGTCCGTTCCCCCATACATATAGTTAATGGAGAGCTTGTCCACTTTGAGCTTCCGAGAGAGATATCATTGACACATCATATCAATCTCAACACAGTCAGTGGTAAAGTTACGTTCGCCCCTTCCTTTGGCAGCAGGCATAGTTATGTCTTCCAGAGCCAGAAAACGCGAACCAGACGCTGAGAGTGATTCTATCGACGACCATCGGTCATCAAAAAGGACGAGGGGCAATGTCTCGAAGGGAAACCCAAACCCTAGTCATGCCGATTTACTCGCTGGCCAGGGAAAGCTTGACTCGAATGGAGACATCTACTGGGAAATCTCCAAAGCACGCCGTCTGACCATCTCATCTTTCCGTGGAAAGACCCTGGTCAGTATAAGGGAATACTACGAGAAGGATGGCCACGAGCTTCCTGGGAAGAAGGTTTGTCTTCTATGTTCTAATAGTCCTCGTCACGAAACTCATCGTTTACGCAGGGAATCTCTTTACCAATTGATCAGTTTTCCTCTCTTGTGAAATTATTACCTCATATTGAAACCACTCTTCAGAATAAAGGCGAATCAATCCCCCGACCACAGTATGATAGCGATAGTAAATTGACCAGTGAGAACAAAGAGGTCGGTGATGACTCTGGTGAATATTCGGATGACAAGGATACGCGCCGGAATATCGAAGCGACGAGTGAGGACGACAGCGATGAGTAGGCATACCCACCAAAGGGGCTAGAATCGTCGTGAGGCAGAGGGTATGGATTTATCAACAAAGCCATTATTGCTTATCTATCCCTGGGCTTCACTGACGCTGAATTATAATGAAAATGATGAGTGGACCTGTTGGATTCGTTATTAGTAGGTATGCAAGTCGTCGAATATGCCATGGATCCCAAACCACGAGAGTACGTATACAAAGTTACGAAATCGCATCCTGAATGCACTCCAGCTTTCATGAAAACCATATCCAGCTAGTCTCTTTGAGTCCCAGTTGAATTTTACTAGATGTTCTATCAGATTTTCCCTTATCACCTCATCGCTAGATCTCGGTCAATCTTACACTTCTTACAACTCCAGTAGACCTACTTACCGATCGGAGCCTTGAGCACGTAAGTGCATTCAACCGAGTGTTTTGGGGAAATAAATGTATAATTTACAATAAAATGGTTTAAAATAAAACAAAAGGCACTTGTTACCTATGCGTCTCTTTATTGTATCATAACTAGAAGAACACTAGCTGCAGTACCGTAGAATAAGTATATTGAAACTGTTTAATGCGTGTCTGGCATGGTGAAGCATCTAGCTCTGATTCATTCAATCTTTTTCTTTGAAGTTGCTTATACAGCAACACAAAGCCTCTGGGGCACTAGAGAGTGCCTTGGCAGTCATCTAGTAATGGTGCCTGTGCCTAGATAGTGAAGATATCAAAGCAATTTTAAAAATTCGAGAGAGGTTGGGGGCCGGAAGAGAGACTTGTTGTATGAGAGGGTACTATCCATGAGATACATGTAAGACTAGCCAGGGTGTTGAACTACTAGAAGTTTGACGTCTAATTTCGATCCGAATACAAACTAGTTAAGTTTATATAGTATTATTATGAAAAGACTGGCTATTGACTATACCGTCATGTTGTGGAGGTTCAACCCAAACGATTACAGATTAAATTTGCATACAACCTTGTAACCCTAGATGTATGTATCAATTAATCTATGGGTTCAATACTATGAAATAACTGAGTACTCGGGTTAGCCATACTTTGTTCATCAACTAAATTTTTAGTACCACAAGATGCACGCTATATTTGGCATCCTAGAGACCCGCATTTGAATGCACAGTCTTTGGGGTAGATAGTCACATTCAGAATCTAGTATGTATTTTTGGCTATGTACAGTGTGACACCTATTGAGACATTGTAAACTCTGAAATCCCTTTAGAATATGCATTAAGTTATTTATGAAGCCTTTTTGTGCTGGGTATTATTTATGGCTATGCGAATACCCTACAAGTAAGTACTTGATTGTGATGCGTTATGCCCCTTACAATGTTACAAACTCTGTACTCCGTACTATGGGGCAACTATGGTTGTTGTCCCGTGGAAAGTTCGGTGGCTAGCTAGCAAAGCAGATCCATGGCTAGTGAGGGACTTCCGTCATATCAGACCAGAAAATGGAAAACACAAAAGCCCCTTCCCCTCCCCCTTTTCCACCCTTTCCCTCCCATATAACGCTACAGTATAATACGTGCTGCTTGAATATTTTCTTGACCTGAATTATTAAGATACCCACCCGCACAAGCCCTGGCTATCAACCTGAAATTACTGGTTTTCCTTGTCAGCCTGGACGTATAGTCCGGTTTGACCTGTCTTATCCTCCTTGTGACTTGATTGCTTATCAAAAAGAGTGCTTTTGGTATGTCCTGACACAGTCATTCAGTTACCTCTAAGTATCAGTATTCAGAAGAGTGAAAGTCTATCTCAAACCATTACAACTATGACTTGCACCACTGGCTATTTCCTACTAACAGCTAATTACCCCTCTAGTATGCTTGAAGGCCTGTGTGGACTAGAGTTCCGGATCCCGAGTTCAATCCCTACCGTCGGGTTTATCGAGCATCCTACCAGCGCATATCAACCAAGAGAGAGCAAGTATCCTGGTTTGTCGACCAACTTTGTCTATTATCATCTCGTGCATACACTACCTGTTGTGCACCAGGTCTGGGACAAACTTGTCATGATTAAGGGGAGAATGCGCATTCTATAACGCCAAACCCGCCAATTGTATTGTCAAAACACACGCGCGCACACACACACTATGCAACCGGAGTGAGTACTCTGGTATGGGTGCAAGACAGCAATCGAGCTGACAAATATCTTGTGTGGACTATCTCAGGCTGCAGAAATACTGTGGACACATCAGCTTCCGGTAAAAAGGATCTTCCTCGTTGGCCAAGCCATTTTCGGCGGTGCTATACTACCTATCTGAAAGCCGAAGCCGGGAAGCTTCATGACTGGTTCTGCCACTCTATATACTGCTAGTCTCTAACTGCGGTCACGGTATCGCAACATCGGGATTGTGTGAACCAACGTTCCCGGATATTTCTGGAAAACGTCTTGCGCCCGTCGGTATCTCATCCAAGTCAACGTTCTAATACATACTGGCATATGCTGAACGCAATCGTACACAGTTGAGGAAAGTCGAGTTATAGTGACCTGATAGACAACGCCCACGTTCATTCCATCCCCACAATCGCATTACAGGCTATGTCTAGATTAAAGGAATCTGATACCGCGGATTACATTTCCAGAATCGGTTCAGGAACTCCGGCAAATTCTGCCTCGCCACAAGCTGCTGTGTCGCTAGACAAGACGGATAAAGGTCTCATCCGTGAAGGACTAGGCAATTTAAATCGCTGGTCGCAGTCTACAACATCTAGCCAAAATTCGCCGGAAAATAATCGCCGACTCGATTTTACCAGAGTGCCAAGATCACCTTCCCCAACCACTGGCCATGACGAACACATTGACAATAATGACGGCTCGGAAAATCAAAGTCGAATAGCTTCCGAAACTGGCATTGAAATACATGACGGATTTCACATGCCGGAGACATTCGATACTTATGATGAATTGCGTACGCATCGCCCTTTTCAAACGTCGATCACGTCGAGTTATGGCGATCCTGCACCAAATCACCCAGTCGACGTTGTAGGAGCGACAGTGCCACAGAGTAATTGGATATTTTCTGGTGCCACTGAAATACCCCATAACCTTTTCCAAGACCCCTGGGTCAAGGAAAACGGTTCAGGACCTGATTCTGCCCGGGGCAAAAGTAGTGTGGTTCCTACTCGCCCAGTTCTAGAGGCACACAGTCCACGTGAATCAGGGCCTAACGCACCAGCAGAGGAAGGACCGCAGTTGATCTCTGAGGGAGATAGGAGTCAGGAGAAAAGAAAGCGGGGTCAGTCACAGAAAGCAATGCTTTCCAAAGCGTTGCAGAAAGCGAATACCGCAGTTCTTCTCGACAATGCGGCGAACTTCGAAGGGGCTATGGAGGCTTACAATGATGCGTGTCAACTCCTACATTTGGTAATGCTTCGGAGCGACGGAGGAGAAGACGAGAAACAAAAACTTCAAGAAATAGTGAGTTTCCTAACTGAACTCAAATTCTCTTCATTTCTAAAACTGAAGTTTTTCTTTTAGCGTGATACATATATGGTACGAGTCACTGAGCTACAACGTATGGATTTTTCATTTCGAGATTTGGATAGCAAAGCCCTCCCTGAGCGTCCGCTAAGTCAAGAATCATATGGTGAATTATCTCATGCAATCGTTGATGAGAACGATGTAATGGCCAGAGAGAAGCGTGTCTCTTTGCAGCGCAGTTCTATGGTCCAACCGTTTGATCTGACGGAAGGGCTAGCGTCCAGTTGGGATCACCAACCGCGCCAGTCATTATTACCGTCACCGCTAGGTGATCGTACACCGACTACAGCCCAATCGTCTAATTCGGTCAATTTCCATCATCCTGGATCATCCCGGCGTATATCGAAGTTTGATTACATGGGTGTTTTAGATTCTTCGGAAACAATAACCTCAGGAGTAGATATCACTCATGCTGCTGGCCAGTCTGACTTGTCCTCTTTCGGGGATCATAAGAAGGACGTGAATGAATCGACGTCTTGGCTCGACACCATTGATGAATCTGGCGCATCTTCCCCAGCCTCGATACGCTCAGAAGTGTCATCAATATACTTGCGACATAGAGGGAGCTTTCATCATGCTGTCGGTACCGAGGCCGAATTTGATGCTGCCCTTGATGCTGCTGTGGAAGCTGCATATGATGAAGGTCTGGAACCAGCTGTCGATCTAGATGATAATGGTAGCAGCAATGACATTGTGGCCAATGCTCGGAGAAATGTCGAAATCGCGAAGCAAAAGGTGAGAGAAGCTGAGCGGGAGGCTCAGATAGCATTGACACGCGGGCAAGAAACACAACGTCTTCATGAACAATCCGCGTACGACGGTGTCAATGATATTAGGACCGATTATCTAGATGAGGAAGCTGAAGAAGAGGAGCGATTGCTGGAGGAGATGACCAGAGGCTATGTTATGGATGACTTCGAATTTGGCATTCAGTCCAAGTCCGCTCTTCCCCGCCAGTCAAGATCGGGTAGCCTTTCTAGCAAATTGCGGGATGGCTCGACTGCTTCCAATACTATGACAGCCCTAAGCCCCCTCGCAGAAGATGCAAGCCTGCCCTTCACTGATAATACAAACTTCGAGCCTAGCGGGTCGTCTCCCCCAAGTCACGGCGCACTTTCGGTTTCGACAAATTCGGGACATGCCTCAATATCAACGCCAACGGTGCGAGCACGGAGACTATCGGGTCAGTATGCCGCGGAACTAAAGATCGAAACAAACACGGACCCATTCAGTTTTCGGCCGCCGCCAGTTCCAAAAGATAGTACCGCTTCAACCTCTACTATCAATCATCAGCCAGGTCGAGCATCGGGTCCTGCTTCTGCTCTACGATCAGCCGCGTCCGTGAAGAATCGAAATGTCTCAATTGGATCGTTTAACGAAGATGCTCTATCTAACACAATCTCAGAAAAGATGCCTCACCAGGACGATGATGGCCGTGAGCTCTCCAAAGTACCATCTCCAACACGTCCCATCGGCAAAGTACCTTCAGCACCGGATAATCTGGGCAAGCTCAATACAGGACTGGGAACTTTTCGTCTGAGAAATATCTCAGTTTCGGGGCCGGAACCGTTCGTTGAGTCCCCAAACAGTCCGTCAAGCAATGCGTTTCCTGCCGTCGATACCCATAAAGTGCCGATGACTGGTTCCATACCTATAATCCCCACACCCACTACTGCCATGATGTCGGCGAATGGCTTGCCTAGTGGAGGACTGAATATATTCGATAGCCATATACATTCCCCGACGAGCCCTGGCTCTCCAAATTTGTTGGCCACCGATCCTCCTCTTCCATTGGAGCCGTGTCCTGAGTCATTTCTTCTGCGTCCATTTTGGCTAATGCGCTGTATCTATCAGACAATTTCTCACCCACGTGGTGGTTATTTGTCCACGAAGTTGTTTATTCCTCGAGACGTGTGGCGCGTGAAGAACGTGAAAATCAAGGCAGTCGAAGAAAAGGTGTCTAACTGCGACTTGCTAACCGCAGCATTACTCAAGTTGGCAAAGGTTGATACTTACGATGCTGATGCTGTTTTGGAAGAAATGCAGTCTTTGGAAAGTGTACTTGACCAGGTGCAGATGTCGCTGTCCAAAAAAATAGGGAGTGAGGTCGGAGTGCAGGGCGCCATGCCACTCTTCAAGTCGGCTCAATTTTTCGAAGACCCAGCAGCCGTCGATGCGCCGCCCTCAAAACCATCGAATGTACCGAGCAAATCATATCTGACCTCCTGGCGTAAGTTACGGTCAAAGAATTCCGGTGTCAATGCGACGGCTTCGCTCCCTGCATCAAAGGACACCAATAAGGACAATGCGACCGTTAGCACCATTCCGATGACGTCTTTGCCCACTTCCCAGCCATTGAGGCGCAGGGTGTCTCAATTGCACTACAATGGATCTAATAACTATATGGGAGCCTTGGCACGGCTGTGCGATGCAGCTCAGGTATTGGGTATGTGGCAGGACTTACCCCACTATCGTTTTGGCAGTGTTAACTCCGCTTGCTTAGATCAAATTGCTCAACAAGTCGAAGATCCTGGCCTAAGGCATTCTTCGCCGACGTTAGTCGGCCTAGAGTTAAGCACTCGCCATGCTGCAGAGTTCTTTGGACTCTACGTTTGTCGGTTTGCCCTGAACGATATCGGTATGATGCTTGATAAGTTTATTAAAAGAGGCAGTGAGTGGGTACTGATCTGATGATATGGCTTTGACTTACATGTATCATACTTGGAACTTCCTCTTCCCCTTCTTCATGCTTATTCTATTACTATTTTGATTCGATTTTGTTTCTCCCATCATCATACTTTTATTCATATTATATTATAAATTCACTTGTACAAGTACCTGCAAGATAGCATGTTTTCTTCTATTTATTCCTTAGCTTTTCCAGTTGTGATGGTTCTCGATAAATCTACTGCTGGAGTTACCATTTCGCATCTATCTTGGGGAGATATTCAAACCCCGTGCATACCCTGTGTTCCCTGTCGATTGCTTCTCGATGAATGCGGCGATGTTTATCGTTTCCATGGACTTACAATAGGCGTATGATGTATGAGGGTCCCTGGCGCTTTTACACGGAGCAGATATATGCAAGCTTTGGAACCTGCAAGTCGAATACCTCTTTCAACCTCGCCTGGCTGCTGACGCAAGGGACATTTGGCGTCTCTTTTCCGCGTCACGAATGATCTCAGCAGATAACTTCAGGCTTGGTGCAAGCCGCGCATACCTGCCAACCTCCGTTATAACGTTAGATATGATCCCGTCTAGCTGAGTCGCTGGAGGCAATAGTGATGAGAGAGTCGGTGACATGGTTGCCCCCATGATTAACAACGCCTGTGAGACCATGGAAAGGGCACCTTGCCAGAGGTACGGCAGGTGGCCCTCACGGTGTCTGCTTATATGCTCGAGTTGATTCAATGTCGCCTCCAAGCACCGCAAGCAGCAATCTTTTACTGTCGGGTCACCGCATGCATACTCATTCTGGAAGACCGCCAGGATGTAAGGCCGGTAAATTATTGTACGGCAGGCGAAGTAGCGAAGCCTTAAAACAGTCTGAATGGGGCTTGATGTCGGGCCCCCAAGAGGGAAGCGGACAGGCTGAGGAAGGCTTTCATACCATTGAGAAAGCTGGAAATCTAGCTCTGAGGCGATAGGACCGAGTGATGCGAGTGTCAAGATGCTGTCTTTTTGGTAGATCATATGACTGACTCTGTTGAGCAGCCTTCTTAGGGCTATTTCAGCCAAGAAATACCAGAGCTCATCCTGACCTATCATCACATCTACTATCTTCTCTCCAAGTTGTATGCTTCCTTCGTCTTCTTCGTCTTCTTCATCTTCCAGTTCAAAGCCCCCAGGGAGATCGACGAGCTCTTCAAAATGCACAATACCCGAGTGTGGTAGGTCTAGTTCTGCAAGCAAATCGCTTTCAAATAGTAAGGTGTTCCAATACACTCTTGTGCTGAGCTCCTTCCATTGCCCTGGAACACGAGAGGGGTTGCCTAGGAGTAGCTGCAACTTCATACTGGCATTTGATAGTAGAGTCCACGCCTCGAGGGGCCTGACCATGTAAAATAGATATGCAGATGCCAATATGACACATTGCGCTGCGAGCACCGAATTGCGCGTCATGACAGCCGGCAAAAGAGACCAGGCTGCGGCAAAATATGGTAGCCCTGGAAGTTCTTCATCTGCAGAAAGGCACGATATACTCCCAGATTGGCTGGCACTGCCCAGTGCCAAAACCAAAAGGACGACGCAACTCTCCGGCCCTCCCTCGAAGTCCAGAGAAAGAGCCTTCTTGTAATAGCGGGGCCATGTCAGTGGGTTGACACAAGCGTACCAAACATTTACGCGTTCGAAAAAAAGTTGAGCGTGGGTAAGTGCGTTTGATACATCTAGGTTCACGGGAGGTTCGAGCCGAAGTGGCTCACGGGCCATCTCTAACTGTAGAAGGGTATGAGGATCATAAGGGACAGCGACCAATTCTCGGATTAATGGCCATTGTAGAAGGTGTAAAGCTGGTGTAGTATGTACTCTGGGCATAGTCGAGATACTCGTCGGTGGATTTGCCCATGAGCCAAGGCCCACCGCGATTGACCTTGTAGGTATGTTGGCGAAACTGACAACATCATCACCACCTATTTGGACAAGGTTGGCAGCTGTGGAAGAATTCGATGACAGCGGAGACTGGCTGATGGGGTCTGAAAACTTCGACTGAAGCAAGACTTCTATCCTGTTCAGCTTCTCGATAATCAGTTTGTCACCGGCATCTAGTTTGATGCCTGGCTCACGATAAACACAGTCTGCATCTAGGTCTACGCAGAGCTGGCATCTTGGGCGGGCTCCGTTACATCTCGTTTTCCGCAGACGACAGATCTGGCACTGAAGCAGTCCACGCACATTAGTATCACTTGTGTTTGTAGCAGAGCTAGTACCAGGGTGGTACTTGTTGAAGATTATAGAAGGGGAGGGGCATCCAACATACGGCTATAGTTGCGCGCCTTCGGGGATACTCGGTTACTTCAGAGTTGTTGCGCTTTCTTGCTAGGGTTGAATCGAGAGTAGCATCGTTATCGGGTTCTTGAGAAGACATGGTGCTTTCAGCCCTCGGTGCATACGAAAACGCTGATCCCGGACAGGGTATGGCTTCAGCAACATGAAGCCAATGGTAAGGCCCAAAGATGTGTTGTTGTGCTCAAGGAGGCACAGAGAATGCCGCCCACGCGGCCACTGGCAGCTGTGAATGATGTGACTAGGGCTGTAAAATGGCAAAGATGTCAATGGGCATTTCTCAATCGAAGTGCATGGCAGTACAAGTAGAGTTGCACATACGAGACAATAACGTTTGATAAAATGCGGGGAAGACACTCGCAGGGGCTGGCAGCTGGCGCCGCCGACATGGGGGAGGGAACATAAGACAGTAATCTCTGCCTATAACGAGTAACTTAATCAATGCTACTAGCTAGTATGTGCTTTACCTACTTCGGCACGGAGCCTACTTGCCGCCCGTCAATGCCACTAGCAGGTAATATTTTGGACAAATACTGTTTATTGGTGGACCGAGGCATGGAGCCCAGCTAGAGTGCTTCGCTATGGCTGTCCAGTAACTAGTCACGGGAAATAGTATGTGAAGCTTTCTACCTCACGTCTATCTCCCTACATATTGATTCAATGTAAAGTCAAACGCCATATCCCAGCAGGTTTATACCGCACTCCGAGATTCAACACTGCGGACTTCGTCTAGGCCTGTGCCTGAGCGGCTATTCTTCCCCAAGCCAGTGCCTCTCTCTGGGTTGGCGCTTGTCTGTTCATCGCTGCTTCTCAACGTGTTGTAACTGCTGCCGGCAGCATTGGATTGGCGAGCTGGCGCCTTTCGGTCTTCGCCGTCATTACCTATGGACGCTGTTGCAGAGACGTTGTTACTGGTGTTGCTGAGCTCAGCATGAGGGTCGAAAGTTTTAGTAGTTGTTGGACCAGCACTGCCAGATATAGGGATCACGCCTGCAATACCGTTGACTTTCTCCCCAGTGATGTCGTCATCTTCATTCCCTTCGAACCTCTCGCCTTTCTTTTTGTTGGTATCAGTGGTACCGCCATTAGCATTGGTGTCACGACCGCCATCTACGCGCGATTCAGTCGCGTTCCTAGCATTGCTCGCCTGGGATTCGGTGGCCGTTGACGCAGGAACTTCGGTGCCATGTCTAGACTCAGCAGGGTCTGGCATACTGGTCTGAGACTGGTGCATGGACGAGCCATGTTGGGGATAATGATCTCCTGTGCTATGGGCATTGCTAGCCCTATAGCTACTGTCTATGCGCGGCTCGGTGTTGTCGTCAATGTTGTCAGGCTTGAACTTATTGGTCGTCGATGACGGAACTCTGGACTCATGAGATGACTGGGTAGCAGCCAGCATGGTTTCCTGGGGCTGATGGCGAGGGGAGACATTCTGAGAGCTCTGGCCGGGCTGTTCTCTTGTGTTTGAGAAGTTGGTGTTATCATAGTTGTTGTCCATTTGCGGGCCAGATTTCTCAACGCCGCTCGACTGGAATCCGGCAACTGTCGGCGTCGAAACATTGGTGCCATATGATGAGTCGGTTGAACCCGGCGTGTTGTATTGAGACTGGTGGAACGGTGACGCGTGCTGCGTGGGTTGTTCCCTTGTGTTGCGTGAATATTGTTTCTGGGTCGGGTTTATAGCACCTTGGGCGTAAGGGCCAGTACTAGGTGAGATCCCCGAAGTACGGCCGTATCGATCGCCGGTAGCACTCCGATCAATGGAGTCAGTGATACTGCTTGGGTGGCGGTTTTCGGATTGCCTGGTGTGGTTCGCATTGTTGTAGGTACTGACGTTGGGACTGAGATCTGTCGCGCTTGTACCAAAGGCACGTTCGGTTGCTTCGACATTGTAAGAAGGATCATCAATGGGGTTCATGATGTTGGCCATTTTCGACAGTCAAATCAGAGATGTACACGAGTGTCTTGTTATATCAGGTTTTGAGTCGGAGTTGAGGCGGGAAATATAGGCTTATACACTAGATATATATAATTGATTGTCTTGTGGAAATTGTCCATTGGCATGGTCTGAAGGCATGACCGTTTAAGTATTTCTCAACCTCGCCTGCGTAGTGCGTGAGATGACGTCGATAGCAGTGGGCTATCTTGATTAAACCTGTAATAATCATGATATCTCACGATGAGCTTTTACGTAGTTGTGGATGTCGATCCAGACAGGGACCATGACGTAAGTCCATGGCCACGGCAAACAATTCGCTATTGATCGGTCCAAAGTACTAGTTAACAATTTCAAAAATTTATCAGTAAATGCTAGCCACGGTGAAACAACATCATCCTAAAAAAGTATTACTGTCTAAATGTGGGGATTAACTCTAGCATGCTGTCATAGCTCCTGAGCTCACTTATCGACGTTGGGTTTCCATGGCCCCCTCCCTACAAATGGGATCGGGATGACGTGCATAGTAATAATTAGATACTTCAGTAGACTATTTCATAGTATTATGTACTTTCATGTACTCCACAATGTGATGGAAAGGACATCTCGAAAGCCGAGATTGGAATTACCATCAGTCAGAAGGTTGTACAAAGTACAATAATTATTCGACTAACCAACCATCAGAGTCAATTACGTTGTAAGTAGGTAACGATTGAGTCTGAAAGCCATATGAGTATAGTTATTTGGTAACTAAACCCCTGCCCTTGCTGTACTGGACCTGTGAATGCGAAGAGTGAAGTGATACCTCACAATATTAGAAATCACAGAAATTGGGGAAGCTTGATTGTATTAGAGGTTAGTGGTTAAATCATGCCAAAAGAAGTAGGTACGTATGGATCCACCCAACGCACGTACGTAGTAGCACACGCGCGGCGCGCCTGGTTTCCCGCCAAAACAACGGGACGCGCAAAAACCTCCATGGTGATTGCGACTGTTTGCAATCTATTAAACAACCTCCCCTGTTCGTCAAATACAACACAGGGCCATTCTCGAACTTGTCGCATACGTATCGCCTGTACACACCGTATTATCCCAGAATATACCCGGTTCGAAGCCACAGAAGACACTCTGTAGGCGTTATCTGCCTACACAAAGTCCCGTTCCATACACAGGTCCTTCGTGTGGTTGAGCAGGGCACAGCACCGAATACAGGCCCGCCTTTCCCTCCACTTCGACCTTACCACTCACAAGTCTCTACAGTTCTAGACACAAATCGCAGAATGCCGAGGCCGCCCACAAAACGCAATCGCTTGACATCTAAGGCTCCGCCAGCCGCCGAGAATGATAGTCAACAGGGCCCCGGACGGCATGGCATATCCTCAGAAGCAAATACCAAGTTCACAGAAAATGCAAACCAGATCGTCACAGATTTTCCTGAGGTGGGACAAAGCGGCCAAGCCTCGGAAATCAGGCGGCAATTGAGGAACCAGACGCCTTTAACGAGAGCACAAGAACATGCGATCGAGTCCTCGCCCATTGGGGACCTTGAGACCACAGGCAGTCGCCCGGCTACGAGAGCTCGAGGGTACTCATCAACCCTCTCTGTTGTCGGGAGAAAGGGCGATACAGGCTCTAAAGTTCCAGGAACTCCCGCATTTGAAAGCTCGATATTAAGTAACTTTAGAAGGAGGCCCCGGCAGCCAAGCATCATGCAGATGATGCAAGCAGAGGACGGTTCCTCTGACCTTGATGATGATGATGATGTTTTCCTCGGTAGTTTGAGTCCGGAAGATGAGTCCACCCCTTTGAATCTCTCAAGGAGTAGGCCCCTCCCAATCCGACAAACTGCGTCACCATCGCCTAGGCATCCAACTCCGTCCAGTGACGGGTCGCGCAAGCGTAAACTGTCTGGCGAAACACCACATGCTTCTCAATCGGACTCGGAAGTTACCGAGAATTCTCCTGCTATATCGCCTACATCACAACGGCGACAAAGCGGGATTGGTGTGTCAGTTGGTCATACTCAAACTCCGGATTCGCCTGGTGCACTCAGCCAAACGCTGGCCCCTCCCATGAGCAGCAGCCCGCCACTCAGCCCGACACATACGGAGTCACCACGTGGATCAGCCCAGCAGAAGCATATAGACAAGCCAGCTGAGCCGGCAACCACTAATAAGCTGGTCTTACCAACGTCAGCCCTTCAAGACAGGCTTTTGCCTCGGAGAAACCGCTCACAACGTAAACGCTTTGGTATGGATGGTTCTGAGTTCCGAGAAGATCCAATTGATGGCGACCAATCCGCCACTGAGCAGGATGACGACGATGACGAATTGTACTACCTACCGCCCAAACAATCATCCCGGGCACCAAGAAAGCGCCTGGTGGAACAGAAATCTGCAAAAAGTACCAGGACTGTACAGGGGGCGCAACCAATGGCAGATAGTGTCCAAGGCCAAATAATAGGCGGCCAGCACCCTGCTGCTCAGCCGAATGCCACGGCCAAAAAACCAGGAGATAAAAGAATGACATACAGAACTATGGGACCTAATAAAGAGAACGAGCCGGTCGATACATCACCTTTGTCATCCCCTTTATCGTCCCCGCCGGACTCAGAGGAGTCCGAGTCCGAGTCCACTGCAGAGTCTACCCTGGGCAGCCATTTCCTTAGCGATGAATTGAGGTTGCAAGCAAAGAAGTTTGCGGATGTTGATAAATGGGAGTTAGAATTCGAAGACGTGGCACCTGACAGCCAAGGCAGTGAAGTCTTCAGATAGCGGACACCTCTATAATTGTTGCTCACGAGATTAGTTTCGATTAGTTATGGGATCAACTAGTTATCTAAGCGAATGGTCAGATTTGTCTGAGTAAGGAACGAGATAGCCGCGCTATTGCGATGATAACCGGCAACAGAGTCCGCCAAATTAAACCCCGCAAATTGACCCCGCCGAATTCAAATTCTTCGACGCCCATGGTTTTCCTCCTAACAGTCATTTGATTTGAACATCCACTTGGAAATCCCAGTCATGACTACCTTGAATTCCATTCTGGCAGGACGATACCCTGCCAAAGCCCATGCCCGCCGGGTTGCCGAGCGTCTTCAAGTGGGCGGCTCTGCCCGGCATGGGATTATTTACCTTGAAGCACAGAAGACTCGACTTATCGAGGATAATGATGAGGCGATGCACTTCAGGTATGGCAGCTTATATTAACTCTGTTCCGATGCTCTCCTGTTGCCGCTTGATCGCTTAAAATTTGCAAAGCTAATCAAGCTTCATGGCCCAGACAACGCCGATCCTTTTTTTATTTGTCGGGCTGCCCGCTCCCAGATTCGTCTCTGATCTACAACATTGACTCTGATAAATTGACCCTGTTCATCCCACCAATTGACCCGGAGGATGTGATCTGGTCAGGTCTTCCCATGTCTGTTGCAGAGGCACTGAGACTCTACGACGTTGACCAAGTGCTATACACTACCGATGTCAATGCCACGTTGGCCTCGATCGCCTCAGATGGAAATGGTAACTCTGTTGCCTTTGTCATCGAGGGCCAGATTACAGAAGGAATCAAATTCGACGGCTTTCACGAAACCAATACCTCGGTATTGAAGGGAGCCATCGACAGCACGCGTGTGGTCAAAGATGAGTATGAGATCGCGCTCTTGAGAAAGGCCAATGACATCTCCGCAAAGGCGCATATTGCTGCCATTGAAGCATCCAAGACCGCCACCAATGAGCGCGAGATCGAGGCGGCTTTCATCGCAACCTGTATTGCCAATGGTGCCCGTGATCAAGCTTACCATCCCATCGTTGCCTGCGGCCAGAACGGAGCCACTCTTCACTATGGAAGAAATGACGACAACTTGGATGATCCAGCCACCAAGCAGAGGAAATCTAGCGTTCTTATCGATGCTGGGGCGGAGTACCGAACATATTGTGCTGATATTACGCGTGTTTTCCCTCTGGGTGGAAAATTTACCTCGGAAACACAGGAAATATACAAAATTGTGCTACAGATGCAGTTGGAGGCCATTGCAATGTTGAGAGAAAATGTGCAGTGGGAAGATGTCCATGCGCATGCTCATCGCATCGCAATCAAGGGTTTGCTAAAATTGGGGATCCTACGTGGCTCTGAAGACGAATTGTTCGAGAAGAGGATTAGCGTCGCCTTCTTCCCCCATGGCCTAGGCCACTACCTGGGCATGGACACCCACGATACCGGTGGTAACCCGAACTATGCAGATAAAGACGCCATGTTCAAGTATCTACGCGTGAGGGGCCGTTTACCCGCGGGATCAGTTATCACAGTTGAACCAGGTGTAAGATTTCCTCGCCCTTTTCGATCTTTTACTTGCTAAATATCCCTCTAGATCTACTTTTGCCGGTTCATCATTGATCCGTACCTTACCTCCCCCGAGACCAGCAAATACATCGATACAAACGTCCTTGAGAAGTATTGGAACGTTGGAGGAGTACGCATTGAAGATAATGTCCACGTTACTCAGCAGGGTTACGAGAACCTGACCACAGCGCCAAAGGCTATAGAAGAAGTGGAGGTTCTAGCCAATTAGGGGTTATTTGATGTATTCAAGGTTATGGCTATCTTGCTTCCTCATAGTCCATGGGATAAAGCACACAGTTTAGAGAGTCCTGTAAAGTTTGACTTTCGCTACGTACTAATTTTAGTAAATATACATCATATGTTGATAGGTAACCAGCAGAAGGCCAGGAATGATAGTGACTGCGATGGTAGCAAATCACGACTCGGAAAAATTCTGGAAATATGCCTCTGGACAGCTGCATAGAGCTGGCATCTGGATGGGCACCAGAGGCAAAGATACTCGAGATTGGTAGAAGTACGGTAGTCGCACCGAGCCCTGCGATAAAGTGCAATATAGCTGAAGGTTGCCTGTGAGGCAATGCTAGGAGCTCGTTGGCGACAGATCGCGGGTAATTAGGCGAGTTCTCATGTTATACAAAATGACGATGTACCGCTTTGGCTTTCTGCTTGGAGCCGTGCAGAGGGTTGCGTCATTCTTATCCCCCCTTATCCGGTGTAGAATTCAATCAAATCTCTAAAATTTTCGTTTACTATAGCCCACTCCGAAGTCGTTTCCGTCCGCTTCCTTTCACGGCCGACTCAGACTCAGCCTTGTCCTGGGCACGCTTCTCCTTCTGATCGAGGACAAGACTAAGAACATCGAAGCTGAATTGGGGAACCTCAATACACAGCTTTCGGAATTCCTCTTCAGCCTCGTGGCGGAGAATGTGGCTCCTCAGGGCCCAGAAGGTGGCCACTGGTTTTCGAATAGTAACATCGTCGACCGGAGTGTTCATGTAGACATAGCGAGCATATGCGATTTCTCCATGCGAGGTGCTGTTGATACGGTGAATCTTTGAGTGTGCTAGTGTTTTGAGCGCAGGGATCCCCAACTTGTCGGCCAAGGTGTATACTCGCGCATGCTTCAACAATTGTTCGCCACTATCGTCTATTTCGCCGGAGACTGCTTCTTGTTCGGTAGGTGTTTCGAGCTGGGAGGCCGAATAATCGCGGGTATACTGAAATTGGAGGAAATAACCAAAGGCTTCCACATTCTCCTCGGGAAGCTCAATGCGACGCTATCGGATATCAGAGCGTGGCTATGCAGAAGAGTAAATAGCATCAATTACTTACAGCGCTCGATTCACCCAAGGCAGTGACCTTCTCTGCAAGAATAGGCGACTCCAAAAGCAAACTTTGATGTGCCGACAAGCTAGTTTTGCTCTCTCCAGTTCCGACGACCAGTTCCACGATAGGTGACTTCAGAAAGCTGGAATACTGTAAGTTTAAAAGATCATGTAGAGAGACAGAACATGCAGGCGCGGATATCAAATAATTGCATTGAAGAAAGGATACGGGCCCTTACTCAAGGAATTGGAAGCCAGGGTTTTTCTTGGGGGGTGCTGGTGCCGTTTCTGGCTCAGCTGCGCCCGCGTCTGGCAGATCGATGTCTTCAGTGGAGTCTGCCTGGCCTTCGTTCACACCACTCGAAGGCGCAGTTACATCCACATCACGGTCGCCAGTTTTCTGTGTAGGGTACGTGCTTTCGCTTTCTTTTCCGACGTTCGAAGAGGTCTCCGGCGCGCCCACTTGAACCTGCGGCGCGTCCATATCTCGTAGGAACTTAGATGCGCGTTGGGATATGAAGTTCCAGCTACTGCGGCTAGACAAAGAAGGAAAGGGTAGGTATTTGAAAGGACAAGTAATCTGCGGCTGAGCAGCAGAGACCCAAATGCCTCAACAAGACGGATAGTAGAAGTGAACGAGCGGTTGTAGCTCTGGGGTCAGGACTATGACAAGAACCACAACAGTGTCAATCTTATCCGTCAGTACCTAGGTCACCTACTACTTTGGTACTAGTAGTACGGATGTGGTAAGGTACGGTTAGCAATCTAAGCTAGGCCTGAAAGGGACTTTTGATAAACATGATAAGTAAGTAGTAGGTTCCTCTACAGTAGACGAAAACAACATAGTAGTCATTTCCCAATTTGTTCAGTCTGAGACATCCATTTGCTAGTACGTAAAAAAATATGCAAAGAAAAAAAGACTACCTTTTGTGCTGTAGATAGTAGATAGGGTAGGCCACGGCTCAATGGTCCCTAGTACATGGCTTACCGTGCAATTGAATCGATTTGGTGGATTTGGGTTCCACTTGGGAAGGTCTTCTCCAATCTCCATAGTATGGACTCCGTGCGGACTCCGTACCTGCATGGTAGGCAAAATCAGGCATTTAGCAGCGACTGAGTTCCACGCTTTACAACTCTACTCCGTACAACTTATTGCCACATAGGGATTGTTAGTAGCACATCGTACTAGTAATACGTACCGGTTAAACGGTAGTTACTACCTCGCAATGGTTAGTGGTACTAGTAGCCCCTTCTGTTGCCAAAATGACGACTCTGTTATTCTTTGGAAGATGGCGTGAAGTCTTAGTCCTCGAGGATGTCTCTTAATTGACAGAAAAGTCTATCATTCTCAACATATTATTGATGCGATGTGATTATAGATATAAAATATATAGAGAGAGAGAGAGAGAGAGAGAGAGAGAGAGAGAGACTTGTATAGGTAAACACGATTTTAACACCAAGAGTAAGTCCAGTTATACACTGGGTACAAAAGGGTATAAACAGCAAAGGAAGGCGGAGGAGGTAATACATAGTAGTATCATCATCATCAAGTGCGGGGCAGGAATAATGTCTTGGAACGTGAATGTAACAGAAATTAAGAAAGAGGCCCAACTTGGGAAGGGACCCGAGTCTTCCGCCCGCAGAAATCGGGTTGATAGGATGGTTTCCCCCCCTAGTAGTCCCTCTTAAGTAGCTAAGCTAAAAATCCCACCCGAAATAATTACAATAATAATAATAAAAGAACGGTAGGAGGATAGCGAAGAATTTTACGTTCTCTTTTCCCATCCAGTCGTGCGGCCGGTAATATAAGAGGGGCACATGCAACCTACTGTTCCTTTCACTTTGTTCTGGCGGATTAGCTCCCCACGAGTTCCCAGCTTTACCGGTCTGAAGGCCAACGTCAACTTCTCGACTCAAGTCCGGTGGTCTTTCCGACTGCCCCAGATTCACAGACGTAGTATGGCGACTAGCATCAACCCCCCCAGGGATCCTAATACCCTGAGCAACTATAACAACTGGATATGCACCCACATCACTGCCAACTTCGACATCCTTTTTGATCAGAAAAAGCTCGTGGGAAATGTCATCCACAAGCTCAAGTCAACTACCAACGGTGATTCGAAGGAGATTATCTTGGATTCTAACCATGTCACAATCGGAGACGTCAAAATTGATGGCAAGCCTTCTGACTGGGAGCTTCTCCCTCCGTTGGAACCTTACGGCTCTGCCTTGAAGATCAAGCTCGATCAGGGAGTGAACTTGGACGAAACCATTGACGTTGAGGTACATCTCAAATTCTGAATACCAGATACCTTCCTCGCTGTTACCTGGCCTAACACTGCAGACCATTAGATCTCCGTTCAGACTACTGAAAAGTGTACCGCACTCCAGTGGCTGACCCCGGCTCAAACATCCAACAAGAAGCATCCATACATGTGTAAGCCAGTTCAGCCTTTCTCCCGCCCAATATCTGTGAGAATTCTCAGACCAGGCGTGATTGTTATAGACTCATTAGAGCTGCTTACAAAGAGTCCAATCTAGTTTCCCAGTGCCAGGCGATCCATGCACGATCCATATTTCCCTGCCAGGATACGCCGGATGTTAAGAGTACCATCGACTTCAACATCTCGTCCCCCCTTCCTGTGATTGCTAGTGGCTTGCCTGTTCGGGATGGCCTGGGGGTCTCGAAATCTGAGGGCAGATCTTTGTACCAGTTCCATCAACGTGTCCCAATCCCGAGCTACCTCTTCGCTCTAGCCAGCGGGTAAGCTTGTCGTCTATCTACAAATTCCCATCACCACCACGTTGGCTCACGAATGACAGTGACATTTCAGAAGCTCCAATTGGACCCCGCAGTGTTGTGGCCACCAGCCCCGACAAGGTCCAGGAATGCCAGTGGGAGCTCGAAGCAGATACAGAGAAGTTTATCGGTGCAATCGAGGTTTGTGAGCCGCCTGGTGCAATGGACATCTCTGACCAAGACAGAAAATCGTATACCCTTACGCCTGGGGCGAGTATAATGTCCTGATTCTCCCACCAAGCTTCCCTTACGGAGGAATGGAAAATCCCATCTTCACGTTCGCCACTCCCAGTATTATTTCTAAGGTACGTATAGGAGCTGTCTTGTGCAATGAAATGCTGTCTGATGCTAAATGAGACGGGTTAGGACCGGGAAAATATCGATGTCATTGCCCACGAACTCGCGCACAGCTGGAGCGGCAACCTCGTGACCAATGCATCCTGGGAACATTTCTGGCTGAACGAAGGCTGGACTACCTATTTAGAGAGGCGGGTAAGCTTGTTTTTCCCTGCCCCTTCCCGCCGGCTGAGGCAGCTAATCCTTTCTTTTTGCTGACAACGCTTTAGATTCTAGCTGCCGTGTGAGTTTAGCATCATGTCTTGCTGCTGTAACCAGTTACTAATCGAAACTAGACATGGGGAGGCATATCGACACTTCTCCGCCATTATAGGTTGGAAAGCACTCGCTGACTCCGTGGAGCATTTTGGGCATGACCACGAGTTCACTAAATTGATCACGGACCTCAAGGGCAAGGACCCCGATGATGCTTTCTCCAGCATCCCCTACGAGAAAGGATTTAACTTCCTTTTCCACCTGGAAACACTTGTAGGAAAGCAGAAATTCGACCGCTTCATCCCTCACGTGCGTTACCTAGGGCTCATAAGCAAACCGAACCTACTGACTTAAATTTGATCTTTTAGTACTTTACGGTGTTCAAGGGGAAGTCACTAGACTCCTACGAGTTCAAATCGACTCTCTTGGATTTCTTTGACGCTGACGCAGAAGCGTCTAAACTACTGAATGATCTCGACTGGGATACCTGGTTCTATGCCCCTGGGCTACCTCCAAAGCCTCAGTTCGATACATCACTTGTTGATGTTGTTTACGAACTTGCCCAGAAGTGGAAGTCCCTTCCGGAGACCTCCTTCAAGCCGCAGCCCAGCGATATCGAGAACTTGAGTGCAAACCAGATCGTCGTCTTTTTGGAACAAATGCTTCTCCTTGAGCAGCCGCTTACTCCTGAGCTGTCGAAGCTCATGGGCGAAGTTTATGGACTTTCCAAAAGTGAGAACATAGAAGTCGCCAATCTGTATTTCCAGGTGGGCCTGAAAGCTGGCGATGAGAGTGTTGTCGACCCTGCGACCGAACTACTAGGCAGAATTGGAAGAATGAAGTTTGTGAGACCATTGTAAGCTACCTTGCACCGAAAAGACAATCTATGGCGCTGACAGAGAAACCAGGTTCCGGAGTTTGCAGAGAGTCAATCGTGAGGTTGCAGTCGCAACTTTCGAGAAGCACAAGGACTTCTACCACCCTATATGCCGAGCAATGGTCGAGAAGGATCTCTTTGGAAAGAGGGACGTCTAGCGATATAAACGAACCCATCGCCCCCTGACTGATTCACATAATGGACCAAAAAAATGAAGTTGAACTCATACCTGAAATAATCTTCCGGCAATGTCAACTGCGCTTATTAGCCACGATAGTGATAGCAAATAAACAATTACTTCTCCACAATACATGGAATTATGCAAGTTCAAGCCCAATATGTTACATTATAATCAATAGACATGATAGTTATACGTACAAAAGGCGAACAAAAGAGCGCCGACGGGTAGTTTCTAGCTTACAATGTCACCGCTTGCTATCGACCATCTTCTGATCGACTTCGGAATGAGAGAAAATACCCGGCTTCCCGTTCCTTTGCCGGTCCAGTTGGAAGACCAAGTCCGCTTCGTGCACCTGATTGAGTTCGGAAAGTACTCGCCGCATATACGCAACGACCTGAGCTATCTTCGACCAATCCAAGTCCTTACCGTCTGGTGCAGTATGGCTCGCCTTCCAGAGGTTTCTCCAAACGGCAGCTCCCAGCACTGCATCTCCCTTAATTAGGCCTTCATCGTAGGCTGCCAAAACACCGCGCCATTGGATAAAAAGATCCTTGAGGAACTTATTGCGTATACCGCGGCTCGTCAACCCGTGAAGCACATCCATGCGATGCTCGGCACTATGTGAGAAGTGGTCGATCAAATGACGTGAGTAGGTTTGAAGGCTATCGTGCGACGGCAAAGCGCGCAACCGGACCGTCAATAAGTACATGTGCAGGAATGTAACCTGCGACCATGTTGAGAAAGTAGGAACGAGACCCAATTCTGTTCGATGATATTCGTTAGCCACGCACCCCATGGTACCACGCCATACCATCCATGAAGATGAAGACACCTAAGTAAACTTACCTTCATACCACCATCCTTCACCTACTCCCAAGTCTTCCCCGGCACTTGTCTTGGGAACCTGAGCTCCTTTCTGAGACAACTGAGGTATCTTGTAGTCTGCTTGTCTGGAGCAGGCCTCGAATAGCTTTTGTGTCATTCCGTAGGCGACGTAGGTCTCTGCTGCAGTACCAGGGCGCGGCCCGATCGCGCGAGCTAACTGGGAAGAATTTCGCCGACTTTGCGAAGGAAGAGCGAAGCATGAGGCCAGCGGTTGTTGCTGATGGCTAGTGCAGCGGTGAGATACCGAGGGCTTCGAGGCATGAATCGATGTTAAAAGTGACTGATTATACGCCTGTACCTAATGTTATTGCCTTGTCAGACGGAATGTTATTCATATTGTCCTCTGTGCCAGATGAGGCCGTACCTGAGGCCGCGGGCATTGAAAATTGTAGAGCCCCCGAAGGGACAGGTTCTTCGGGCCTGCGGAAGGCATTGTTGATTGTCTGTATAGCACAACCCCCTAATTGGTTCTAGCCACTGTTTATACCCGTTTGGATCGTACGGGGCCTTGTTGCGTGAAAATGTTAGATGGGGGTCTTCCTTGATTACAATCCGAAAACTTGAGACTGCTCCATACTCCGGAGAAAGCTAGAAGCCCGCGAGATCAACGATGTTTGCACTGTTTGCCGCCAAGCGTTCCCAGTTCATCTAACTAGCTAGTACGTCACGACTACTTCTTATCAACTACGATCCCTACCATATTTAGTGGAATGTGACAAGCATAGGTAGGAGCGCGGTTTTAGGCCATGAGCAGGATTGTCGAGAGTCTCCAGAAGGATAGCAAATAACCATTCTGTCTATATCACCTACCCCATTACTATGACGCTCTTTCGTAAACAAGGCCATGGTATATGTGCACTACCATGATAGTATCGTCATATATCATTCAACGTGAATCGCCGGGCTTCGATCGATACTATCCCTAAGGGCCTTGTCTCACTGAGTGAAGATTATCGCAACCTGGTCACCGCGCGTGGTATTGCCTCGACCGCGCACTTCATTTATCCAGACTACTGCTGGCATGAGTTGCCCTGAGTAGCACTGAAACGACTCAAACTACTGAAGTAGGCGGCATAAATCTATGTGGTGAGATAGAGCGGTCATCCATATTCCGGTTGCACTTCCTACAACCAGTTGGAGCCGCGACTGTGAGCTGGGCCTCAGTGCGTGGTAGATGGGGGTAGACTGTGGTAGTGAGTATCCGTTGTATTGGTGCTTCATTCATTGAGAGCCACCCTCTCTAAGCGCTTTTCGACAAGCGGGAGGATTTCCGAAAGCCTATTAGGGTCTCTCATGACGGCCGGCACATCGTCTCTGGTCGCTGCTAAGGTCTGAAGACTGATTTAGTTCCCTGAGCCACTCAAATCGGATGTAGTACCCGAAATCAGAGAATGCAACAAGCTTACCCGTCTTACCGCCTCATATTCACATTCTCTAGACTGATATTCCCTGATGATCTCCATCTCATCGAAGTCAACGTAGACTCTCGTGTCCCGAAGCCGGAACAGAACGTTGTCTAGCCGCATGAAGAACCTCGCAAGGAGAAGCAGCCTAGATGGCATGACTCGGATCTTGCATGAAAACATAGTAATGCCGTTATCAGCAAGTTCATCCTCGTAAAGAATGACGTCGTCATAAAACAAGATAGGGTCTGGCCGCTTCAACAGTTCGATAGGGATGGGCTTCGTTGTTGCTATGAAAGGCCGACTGCCAGGTTTCACTGTGCCCGTGTAGTCCGTAGTGTAAGACCAATCGAAAGGTTTGACAACTTCTTTGATTCCTTCGTGAGTCTTCTCCCTAACAACCAGTCAGCCACAAATATGTGCGAGTTGACCTGTGAGACAAGCAACGATGATGCAGTACCTGCTCTTCTGCCATTCTCTCGAGTACGCGACTTTGAGCATCGATGTACCAGTTTTGTCCACACGATCTAAGGCGTCGAAGGCGTTGAAAGCTATGCCCCACGGGCTTTGTTCATGTTCAATCGCAACAAAATTGTCACCGAAAATCATTTCTGGTGGGGTTATTCCTAGTTCTTTCGTCATTTCCTCAATTGGATCTGCCTTGAGTATTGGCAGTTTCTGAGTGCTGATCTTGAATCCTTTAACTGTCACGGAGTTGGGCTTCTGAAAGCTGGGCGAAGTTGCGGTACTCGCCATATTTGCTGACGCCGCGTTGCTACGTGAAGTCATGCTATATTGTAATGAGTGGGTGGCAAGCGACAGTGATGGCATATACACAGGCAGGAGAGAAAATATGAGCATATGAAAGTAGTCAGAAAAGAGAGAATGGGTCCTTTTGATTCACAGGCATGCATCGTCGGCGTTCCCCATGGCCGGCCGATAGATCATACCCCGCGGTGTCGGAGAAAGAGGCGGTCCGAACTGTTGCTGGGGTGATGTGTCTGGGAACCAAACCGGATAAACATCCGAGCGTCGCTAGAGAGCTGCCAGTTCTCCCCAACCTTATTTATCTACTCACTCGTTCTCCATTATCCTCTTCCAGCTCGTCATCTAGACTGCTTTCTCCTCTATAGTCTCTCTAGGGCCTGACTATGACTTTGTAAGGCACGATAGTCCTGATAATTGCCTGCAAATCTCGTTTAGCTCTTTTCCCGTCGCCAATCACTGTCAATTACATTTTTCTCCATGGCCTCCAAGACATTGGAAGCGCGCCTCGAGCGCCTTTCCGTCAAAGACGAAAATGACAGCGGACACAATGGCGGCGGCTACCCGAAACCTAAGGTATGAGTCCTGGAGTACGCCTTGTATTGTACATGGCCTGTTAATGCCGTACATCAGAGCTCCCTATCAACAGCCATGTCTCTTTCGGGCCTTGGAGCTGCAGGGCAATATAGCGGCTCCAATCGATCCAACCTGCTGAAGCTGGCTCTTCAAAATACCAATGACAACAAAGTCAATGCCATGAACGTTGCTCAGTCCCCTACAAAGGGCTCCCAGAACACTTTACCGAGTCGCAACCTAGATGAGAATGGAGAACAACGACACCCAAACCCGCTATATGAGCAACCGGCACCCAAGAAACTGCACCTTGGAATGTTTGAGATCGGAAAACCCTTAGGAAAAGGAAAGTTTGGTAGGGTGTACCTGGCCAAAGAGCGGTCCTCTGGTTTTGTATGTGCACTCAAAGTCTTGCACAAATCTGAGTTGCAGCAGGGTGGAGTGCAGAAGCAAGTCCGCCGGGAAATCGAGATTCAGAGCAATCTTCGTCATCCGAATGTTCTAAGGCTTTATGGGCACTTTCACGACAGCAAACGGATCTTTCTGATTCTTGAATTTGCCGGTCGGGGAGAGTTATATAAACACCTTCGCAAGGAACATCGATTTCCTGAATGGAAAGCTGCTCAGTACATCGCCCAAATGGCTGCTGCTTTGAAATACCTCCACAAGAAGCATGTCATGCATCGTGATATTAAACCCGAAAATATCCTAGTCGGCATCCACGGGGAAATCAAAATAAGTGACTTTGGATGGAGTGTACATGCACCCAACAACCGGAGGCAAACAATGTGTGGAACACTGGATTACCTGCCTCCCGAGATGCTCAAGCCGGGCTCACAGGACAATTACTACAATGAGAAAGTTGATCTGTGGAGCTTGGGTGTCTTAACCTACGAGTTTCTTGTTGGAGAAGCTCCCTTTGAGGATACCCCTGTTATGACACAGAGGCGGATTGCAAGAGCGGATATGTCGGTTCCATCATTCGTGAGCCCTGAGGCAAGGGATCTTATCAAACGGGTATGTGAGGCCCAGCCGCCCCTTATGGAGTAATTGCTAATGCCTTCTAGCTCCTTGTTCTCGATCCTGAGAAGCGAATCTCTCTTGATGAAATCCAGCGGCATCCCTGGATCCTTAAACACTGTGTTAAGGATGAGCGAACCGTGAAGCGCAGTTCTGGTTCTGCTTCGTCAAAGGATACCAAACAATAACGTAATACTTATGCATTCATGGCGCTTTGGTGTTGAGACGTGTGGTCTTCTCTGCCACTTCAACCAGTGGCCTTCTTGTGATTGGGTTTCGTGCGGAGTGCGTTGAGCATGCTGGAGTTCTATAATTATCTGCTTTTTGCGGCGTCCGGTCCTTTGGCTCTATTATTTAATGATATATCTTTGCAGGTGGCGTATCAAATACTATATACACATGAGTGGCCATTATCGCAGGACTGCAGCGCTCGAAAAATAGTAGTATCATCGGTAGATCTCGTCGAACGGTCGGGTGTCTCTAAAACAGCTGTCCCATACTTCATTTACAACCTTCTCTGCATGGGCTTCATCCTTGCATGTTGGCCTTGCTCGCACAGACAGGATAGCTCTTCTTCTAACACACTCTTGATGCTGCTGTGTAAACTTCCACTGGCCCCTCCGGAAGAACTCGCGCGCCCACCGACATTCACCGCTGAGGGAGCTGGCTCGAATCTGCCTTTTGCATCAGCCAATGGCTGCCAATATCAGGTGATTATGATCTTAGGAGAGTAAATACCTCGGTACAAGCTGCGTGCCGCAGATTGTCCATCCAGTCAACTTTGAATCTGAGGTGATCGTAGGCATGGACCATTTCATGAGCCATTGTATCCTCCAGATGTCCCTGGTCCTTCATCTCGTTCGCGCAAATTAAAATACCATAATCGGGGTCGAAGCCTCCAGCTTTTCGATTGGTACATCGGCGACAATAAATATTATGGCTATGAAGGTCTCCCCCAAGCTGTCGAATGCTGTCACTCATGAATCGGATTATGGGACCTTGTGATTCCTTGGATTAGCTGTAACCCTGACTAAGTACCCAAGCCCTGGGAATCCGCGAAGGGGCAAAGGGAAATAACTTACTGAACTGTAAGAGATAATCGCGCTGATCCTCGCAACGTTTGCAATCGGCGGCCTCATTCCGGATATCTCGAGCAACACGGAATTGTTCTTTCCCTTCATTTGTCATTCGCCCTGCTAGGATGGAGAAGATATTGCGCCATTGCGTCCAGGTATCGTCGCCCGGTATGTAGCCCGTATCCTGATTGCCGGGTTTCGAACCGGTATTGGGAGACTCTGAAGCCGACATTTCGCCTAAAAATACAAGGACGAGAAGCCAGCGCAGTGATATGGATACGGAAGAAGCGCTAAGCACTGCGGAAAGATCGTCCAGGCCGATTCCGCCATCAGCTCTCCGCATTGGCGGTGAAAGATGTGCCTGGCAAAAAATAGATATTCCCCGGAAAATCACACACGGCAAATGGGATGCCCGATCGAGCTACAAAGACTAGCGCAGCCTGTCTGACATCGTCGCGTCTGGGAGGGAGGTCGGATACCGCCAATTGCCAGTGTCGCCATCAGATGGGTGATTGTGTGAACAACGTTCCTGATTAATCAACTCCAACTTCACTTCACAATGGCTTCCAAACCTCTCACGATCGTCATCAAGCTAGGTGCGGGGTATCCAACTACAAGCCCGGGCATTTACTGTTACAGATTCACTAACATCCATTTTGGTTACAAACAGGGACGAGTTCCATCGTGGATGAGAACACCCATGAGCCTATACTGTCGATATTGACCTTGATTGTCGAAACTGCCGCCAAACTTCATCGCGACGGACATAATGTCGTGCTCGTTTCATCCGGAGCTGTCGGCGTCGGTCTACGGAGAATGGATATCGAGGAGAGGCCCAAACACTTGCCCCGTATACAGGTAATAAGACACACAATGCTACGGATCGCCAGATATCCAGGAGCTGATTCATGAACTTTAGGCTTTGGCAGCAGTTGGGCAATGCAGACTGATGAGTCTTTGGGACGGTCTTTTCTCGCATCTCCGTCTCCCCGTCGCACAGATCTTGTTGACCAGGAACGACATTGCGGATGTAAGTGTTCATTCTGGTTCCTAGAGTTACGTTTCACATCTGACACCGGTACAGAGGACACAATATCTCAACGCTCAGAATACCTTCGCACAGTTATTTGACATGGGTGTGATTCCCATCGTCAATGAAAACGACACTCTCGCAGTCTCGGTATGCTTCCGCTAGTTGCTCTATGAAGCGAAAAAGCAAAGCAAAAGCTTACTTTAACTAGGAAATCAAATTCGGTGACAACGACACACTGTCGGCAATAACAGCAGCTATGGTCAAAGCCGACTACCTCTTCTTAATGACGGATGTCGACTGTCTATACACGGCTAACCCACGCCACAACCCGGATGCGAAGCCTATCGAGGTCGTCACGGATATTTCATCTTTGGAGGCTGATGTTTCGTCTGCCGGATCCTCTTTAGGGACAGGAGGCATGAGTACCAAGATCGTCGCTGCCAAGTTGGGAACCAGTGCGGGCGTGACCACAATCATCACCAAAAGCTCCAAACCGGGTAATGTTCATGAAATTGTCAGATACCTTCAGCAAACGGAGCAACTTGACCTGGGGTCCGAAGAGTCTTCAGGCTCGCCAGACTTGCCCACTCCGCCCCCACTACACACTCGATTCATTCCCTCGGAAACCCCGATTCAGTCTCGGTCTTTCTGGCTTCTTCATGGCCTGAAACCTCGAGGTACACTATATATTGATCATGGCGCTTATAGTGCTCTCCAGAAAAAGGCTGGCTTGCTTCCGGCAGGTGTCTTAGGGGTGGAAGGACATTTTGGCCAACAGGAAGCAGTGCGCCTGGTTGTGGTAGAGAAGATCTCTCCAGACGCTTTGAATGGGGAGTTCCTTCATCATGGCCAGGAGCCGAAGGAAGTTGGGCGTGCCCTAGTCAATTACGGCAGCAGTGAAATCATCCGCATCAAGGGCCAGAGAAGCACACATATTCAGTCACTACTTGGTTATGCAGATAGTGAATATGTGGCTCTTCGAGAAAACATCTCTTTCACACAAAATAACGATAGTCCACGTCACTGAAACGCAAATGCTTCTAACATTCTGCTATCTTGAGAAGGAGAAGGAACGATCGATGAGTAACAGACAACTATATAATTAGAATTGCATATAACAAAAGTATAGGCTAAACAATGGAAGAGACTAGGGCTTTGCTTATTTTCCGAGAATTTAAACATACATTATGGTATATGTAGTAGGCTTGGTGATTCCGATAAACTTCAAGAGGCCAGCGTTGACCAATATAGTAATCACTTTGGTGTAAACATACATAGCTGGGAAATGCCTGGAGTTAGGTAAGACTCGTATTCCCGAGCTCCAGTCTGCCAGTCCGGAAACGCCACATACAAGCCATCAATATGTAGAATCATTGAGACATAGGACAGGGAGCGTGCTAAGTACGGAGGAAGCCATGGGATGATCGAGCAACAAGTATTGACAGTCCAGACCTTACAAGCCAGAATCGTCATGCGCATCAATCTTTCCATCTTTCCAAAAACCGCTTCATTTTAGTATCTCCAGCATGTGGTGCAGGAGAAGCCTGTGGAAGTGAGTGCCATTAGCCCAGTTTCGCAAACCTTGAGAAGAGAAGAACAGAATAGATATTGACAAGACCCAGCTACGTTATACTTACTGTATTTTCAATGCTAACGACGGAGTATGTTTCTGAGGCGGACAGTGTCATCTGAACGGTAGCCTGAGGTAGATAAGTTGTAGCAACGGAATACGCGCTCGTTGGATATTGGGGTGTTGGTGTTCCCGGCGGAATTGTACTTCCAGGCTTCTTAGCCATGGGTGCGTATCTTGTAGGTCCAGTCTGCAACTGATAGGGAATCGTGAAGGGCCCAGCCACCTGTCTCTTTCGTAGTTCTTCGTGATTGTCATCCTCAAGGCTCGAAGGGAAGGAGTCTGTAGGGTGCATGGCCGAATGAAGTCCATTTAGGACAGTCGGTGAGAATGAGCCAGTCATGTTCGTGAGGGTGAAGCGATCCGAGTAGTTGACAACAGAGGTTTCAGGACCAGAAGCGGCAACCCTAAGAAAGCTGCACGAGATGCAATTGTCAGCAGTAAGATCGAAACCCTCTGTCGTGTTTCAGGGGAGCATTGGAGGAGGGCTTACTATGCGTTCGCATCATTGCCGCCAACCTCGGGATCAATATTGAATGAGACTGAATTGCCCCTGGTAAAGAGCGCGTCTTTGACGAGGAGAGCTACATCCTCCTGTATCGAAGATCTGGGTATTAGTAGGGTTTGAACCAGGGGCGAGAACATTGGTAGAGCACGCACATTGGATCCTGCTGTGTCTCCGCCTGCACAGAGATAGAGGTCATACTGTACGAGGGAAGCAAGTCGAGGTAATGCGCCAGAGTCCCTCCAGTGAGCAGTAACCACATCCCCAGCTCTGATGACCGCACCGGCTGCTGGTTCGATAAACTCGATATCTGCGAAAGCAGTTGGGAGAAACGATAGCGCAAAGTATACTACTGGGCGCGCGAGTCTCATCATGGGAAGAGCGAGAAAGAGGGGAGGAAAAAGAAACACAGATGCCAGAAAAAGCGAGCGTGGACAAACAATTCAAAAAAAGGAAGATGGCCAGAGATGTCTGTTGACACCCTCCCGTCACCCCCTGCAATCAACGGCATGCTGGGAAGCCTGCTGTGCTACCGAAGTATATACCTGTATGTCCTAGTCGGGAACTATAACGCACGGGCCATGGACCAGGCATTAAGGCACCACGGCATCAAGGCAAACACCAGCTTCGGCCAGAATCCCGCTCCGAAGGTGGCATGATCCGTCGGGTTTCGTTGTCACCGCTGCAATTTCCAGCAACCAACAAGCAACAACTTGGACGCCAGCCAATTTCTGGACAGGATCACAGCTCCTAGGCTTTGGTTTACTAATTGGCTGCGTCAGAATTGTTGCCCTAACCAGACTTGGGAAGACGAGGGACAAGAAGTTCTGCGCTTGCGGATTGGTAGCTTCTTGAATACATACTGCGGAGCTCGACCTGTTCATGCCCTACACAATTAATCCCTTTTCACTACTCACCGGATAATTGAAGAACCCCTTCGCATCAGTCCCCCGTGCTTCACGTGGGCATCTGTGGAAGATGCAATCTCATGCGAACTGGAAGACCCTTGAGGGAATAGCTACCAGTCTGCTTGACGGCAGCCCCATTGCAATTGCAGTCACAGTCTTCATTGCATTTGGACTACCTATTCTGCTGCATCTGATCTTCTACCGAACAGTTGCTTCTCCACCCTCCAGCAATTTCCTGCTCCTTGGTCCCAGTGGGGCTGGCAAGACCGCTCTCTTAAGCCTGGTATGTTCAATCTAACTTGGCCTTGCTTTGTGCATTCCTCTCTCCACCCCTCCTGCCCAAGTTGTAGCTTGTGCTAACGGTCTTCTTTCGTCTACAATAGCTTGAGACTAAATCGTCACGTGTTCCTCCCAAAGACTCTCGGCTCACACATACCTCGCAAACGTCTACTGTAGCTACCATCAGCCTTCCCGCCTCCATCCAGACCGCTTCGAACCGCTACCGCTCTGTCAATGACACCTCCCTGAAGGATATCTCCAAGAACCCTGTCAAGTATCGCGTATGGGATACTCCGGGCCATGGAAAACTGCGGGGATCTCAGGGACTTGCGACATTGCTGTCAATGTCAACGTCCAAGGATGTAAAGTCCAAGTTGCGCGGAGTCCTCTTTATGGTCGATACGGCTGCTCTTGTCGAGGCTGAGACTCTGCGAGATACAGCTTCATATCTGTATGATGTGCTTTTAGCCCTCCAGAACCGAGCCCTTAAGAAGGGCAAGAATTCCGCGAAAGCAGCCTCGGAGATCCCCGTTCTCGTGGTGGCCAACAAGCAAGACCTTTTCACTGCCTTGCCTCCAGGGTCAGTGCGTGAAAAGCTGGAGGCTGAGATTGACAGAATCCGGAAATCCAAGAGCAAAGGTCTCATGGATGCTAGCGCTGACGCTGGAGTTGATGAGGGCGAAGACGATATCCTGGGAAGTACTGACACTCGGATCAAGTTCACCTTCCGAGGCCTAGAAGATGAAATTAGTTTGACTGTGGACATTGTCGGTGGCGCAGTCAAGAGTGATGAGGAGGGCAACCTCGGGGCCGGCGTCAGAAAGTGGGAGGAATGGATTGGCCAACGCCTCTGAACTGGATGTTCGTATATTACTTGGGCCAGTGACAGTGCTAGTGGCCCTAGAGATGGGATGGAACGATACGAGATATATCTTGAAAAATTGCATAACTCCTACACAATCCAGACAGTCCATATAAGCCCTATGCGCCGGAATGATCCTCATGAGCAGAAACTGGAACCCATAGTATCACGATATACCTGGAATTCAGCCAAAAAGGTTCGATGACCGTAATAATTCTGACGGATACATCTCGGAGCAGCTGCTATCAGGTCTCTTGTTGCCAATGAAGGCCCAGATGCTCTGTCACCTTGGTATCTATCCAATCCTGTACGCAATCAGAAACGCGAGGAGAAGAGGCAGGGTCAGAGAGGGTAGAACGTAAGAATACGTACCCAAAGGTCGCGGGCGAGAACCGGGTCATTACCAATGTCAGTCGTTGCGTCTGGCTTGGCAATAGGAATGTAGTATTGGCCGCGAATCCCATCAACACGAATCCGATCACTTGTAGCCAGATAGACGGCGGTGGCGGCGCCGTCTTGTGTACTTTGCCCAATGATTGAAAAGACATAACGGAAAACTGCACCGAGAGTAGTTCCTACATACTCGTCCCAGGCTTTCCATTGCTCTGTGACAATATTCCCAGGGAAGAAAACATTCACGTAGATATTGTTAGCGCTGGGGCCTTCTTGCTCAATTCGACGAGCGAGTTCTCTCGTAAAGAGAATGTTTCCTAACTTGGAACGACAATAACGCCAGAAGCCATCAATATACGGATACATAGGCATCACACGTGTAGGCGTGGTAAGCTGGTTAAAGTCCAAGGTACGGCATACCGAGTGCAGCGAGGAACTAGTGACAACAACCCGGGCTTCTCTGGATTGACTATGCTGGTTTGCTGTGCGTTTCAGTAGTGGTAGGAGCAAGGTAACCAATTCCTGGTGGCCAATGCAGTTTGCCGCAAAGACCATTTCCACTCCCTGGGGTGATCGTTCGTAATTGGTTGTGACACCAAGGCCTATAGAATTAGTTCTGAATCAATCGATTATTGCCACTAGTTCATAATACGTAGTATAATAGTGAAGGGGGGTGGTATAGAAGAAGGTGTCGTACCGCCGTTGCAAATAAGGATATCTAGTCGTTCTGTTATCCTTCTGACCTGAACTGCTGCTGCCTTCACAGCGAAGATATCACCCAAATCACATTGGATGAAAGTGACTCTTTTGTCGTCCTTGCCTAGGTTGATATGACGACGTTGCCATTCTTCTTTGGCTGCTAGGAATTTGTCACTGTTTCGACCGAGGACCAAAGCTCTGTCTATATTATGAATAAGAAGCTGGGCGGTGATCTCTAATTCAACATCATTCAATTAGAAAAGCTGATCCAAGTCTCGGCTTGGAAGGAGAGACGAATTTGCAGCGATAACTAGTAGGGTAGAGAAGAGTTGGTTACCTCTTCCTATGCCTCCGTGACCACCCTATTACATAGTAGGCCGCTGGCGGAAGTTGTTGGGAGGCTGTAGCCAATTATAAATAGTATATCATAGTCTTTCAAAGTTATTGAAAGTTATGAAAAAGTTATTAATAATTAATTATTTTTATAAAAGAAAATAAATACATAAATAATAATAAATAACTAAATAAACATTTCAAATACCGGGTAATTATATATGATGTAATATAATAGTTATAAAATATATATATAATTATATATAACTTTATAATCTTCCCGCGATATACAATATAAGTATAAAATAATTTTAAACTTATATATAAAGATATTGACATTGATATTTATTTCTTAAATAATAGTAAATAATCTAAAAAATCTTACTAAATCCGGGTAATTACATGATTCTTTTATTTAATGATTAATAACTTTTAATAACTTTTTTATAACTCTAGATAACTTTTACCAACCATGATTTATTATTATATAAGCCTCTTCACGCACCCCCTCGGGCCCCTATGTAATTGTCATGTTAGCGATAGTCTCCTGCGGGATTGTGATATTTTGATTTCTCGGTGATGCTGCAAGTTTTCATATATATTTCGGTAAACGAATACTAGTAGACATACTGTTACCAAAGCCACCTTCCCATCCAACGGTGGTGTGTCCCGTAAGGAGAATTCTCTATAGGTGAATATTCCTGTCATTATAAATGTCTAGTAGTATTCAAAGGAAGAGACAATGTATAGTTAAGAGGGATCTCCAGTGCTGGCCATCCTTTGGGGGTACAATTTGGATTCATTGTTAATTAATATCGAAACCGGTGATTTGAGTTACAGAACAGTGGACCGGAGACGTCATTCTGGGCCTCTGTTATATACGTCAGTCCTACACACATGTCAAGATGCGCCAACCTAATGGTAGTGTTTGATTGCTCGTTTGACCTGAACTATCTAGCTTTGTTCCAATTAACTCCATACCGCCCATGGCACAGCCTTCGTTATATGACTGGATGACTCGAGAACTGTGTGCCGGAGGGCATCCGCCCAAAAAAAAAAAGAAATTGAAGATATAGTTGATACTCTCCAGATTATAGCATACCGGTTGAAAAGCCAAGTTGCAGTCGCTAGAATATTATAATCTTAGTTACCCGAGGTGCCATTGTTGTCGTTGTGAAGCATCCAGGTGAGGAGATCGACCTTGGTCGCCACCGCAACCGGCTTCATGGCACCTTGGTCATCTCGCTCAGTAACAACAGCTGCGCTGTTCCATTCAAGGAATCGGTTCAGAACGCTCAAAGGTGTATCCATGGTGATCTCCACAAATTTCCGATCTCTGATATGGGGCTTCGCGTTAGCACTACCATTCTGGCCGGCCTGCGAGCTGGCAAGCCCCATATCTCTGGGATCGGTGACAATTTCCGGGATCTTGCTGAAATCGAACATAACATCAGCAACCGGGCTCTTCCCGGTAGCACGTCCATGGGTCAGCCGGCTGAGAACATTTCCAAGGGTAAGCAGTCCGACAAGCTTCTTGCCAGAAGGAGCAAGAACGGGAAGTTGGTCGAAACCTCTGTCGCGCATCATTTCAATGGCAATTTCACAGGGGATGTTGGATCGGACTGTTGTGATGGGCTTCAGTCTCAGGGCCTTGACCTGTGAGCCGGCGAAGGCATCGCTCTTCGCCTGTGGCTGTAACGCCGGGAAGGATGTGGGTTCAGGGGTCGATGACAGAAGACCATTCGCAGCGAGCCAGTCGTCATCGGCAAACTGTACTAGGTTAGAGGACTCGTCAAAAACAGCCTAAGAGTACATGAAGACTTACTTTGGTAAGATAACTTCTGATGCTGTCGGGCAGGACGACGACAACCACGTCATCCTTCTTGAATCTGTTATCCTTCGCGGCTTGCGCCAAAGCGGAGATGGCACTTCCACTGCTTCCACCAACAAGAAGACCTTCCTCGGCGATTAGCCGCCGAGAGTATTGGAACGACTCTTTGTCGGCGGTCTTGTACCACTTGTCAACTGCCTGGCGATCCAAGACCTCGGGGATGAAATCATATCCGATACCCTCGACCTTGTAAGGCTCGTTCACATGCTCCTCGTTCAGCGCAGCAGGAAGTGCCAAGATAGATCCATGGGGGTCTGCTGCAATGACTTGGATATCGGGGTTGTGCTTCTTGAGGCCGCGAGAGATACCAGTAATCGTTCCACCAGTGCCAGCACCGGCGACAACCGCACTAATCCGACCTTCTGTCTGAGTCCAGATTTCCTCTGCGGTTCCAAACTCATGGGCAAGGGGATTGTTCACGTTCCCATACTGGTCCAGAATGTGCGCATTGGGAAGCTCCTTCTCCAAGCGCTTTGCGACGCCGATGTGAGATTCCGGGGAGTCGAAAGCCGCTTCGTTGGGAGTACGGATGATAGTAGCGTTCAAGGCACGCAATACGGACACTTTCTCGGCGGACATTTTTTCAGGCAGAGTTATGATAGTCTTGTAGCCTGCATACTCCGGGAAGATTATTAGCCGAAAAGATCCCAACTTAGAGATTCTGGATCAACTAACCCTTGACGGCCGCAACAAGAGCTAGACCAATACCACTGGTGATAGGGAAATTAAACGAGTTAGAACATCTGCTTTGAGAACATCTGCGTGATTTGCGCAACGGGACCTACGTGTTACCGCTAGTGGGTTCGATCAAAGTATCGCCAGGCTTTATGCGCCCAGATCGTTCCGCTTCTTCAATCATGCGCAAAGCGATGCGATCCTTCACGCTCCCGCCGGCATTGAAATATTCACATTTGGCGTAGACGGTGGCTTCGATTCCCAAGCTGCGCGGAATCCTGTTTAGCTTAACCAACGGGGTATTGCCAATATTCTGGGTAATCGTATCAAGGGCCACCGGAGGACCGGCCGGGGTGGTTTTCGTGGACATGGTAGGTATCGGAGAGAGCTGAATTTCGTAAACTGGGTTAACCGTGAGGAAGAGGAGTTATGAAGAGCAATTGAGGGCCGTGTGCGACTATATTAGGGGTATCAGAAGTGAGGAAATAAGACAAAAAAAAAAAGAAAAAATTTGGCAAGGCAAAAAATCTCGTAACAGATTGGTGGTATACCCCTCCCGACGGTAGCCGTTTACGATGTGCCAGTGCCACCCAACCGCATTCGCCATATCGCTCGAGTTCACGAAATTCCTGCATAAGCACCACGTGATCGCTGCATGGTCTGACATGTAAAGTTAGTAGTTGGGCTACATGAGATAATGTCATAGTTAGGAGTTGTCGTCATTAGAGGCTTGGAGTATGGCAATTGTTCACTTTACACAGAAGGATTATTGATAACGGGCGATCTCCCTCATCTCATGGAATTTAGCTTCTTCCATTTCTTCCACAACTTGGTGGAGGCAAGGTGGGTATTTACACGCACCACCAATCAGAAAACACACCCTTCATGTAAGTACCATGTACAGAATATCTACCTAGTACCTAGAACCATAATCATATACCAGACTAGTAGTTAGCAGATCCCGAAAGAAAATAAGGTACTTCAACCGGCACCACATAACAACAAGTCCCTACTTAGTATTTACGTACACTGAATAAAGAGTATCTACGTAGATCAGATCAGCAGGACTGACCCCTGTCAACTGATTTTAGTAGATAGAGATGTGTATGGGTAAGCCTTGAATACAACATCGGTGATGGAATACTAAACGGCATTTTGACCCTTCTTTCCTTGCAACCAGCATACCTTCAGTCCCGAAGAAGGTACTGACAAATAAAAATGACGTCTTCTATCTGCGGGGAAGTTCTCTCAATACCTAATTCCATGTGGAAGATAGGCATTGCATTAGCCTATATTCTTATTTTGCTGTCAAGTGATCGAAATAGAGAGTAAGTACGTAAGAGAGCAGGAAAGAGGACACTCGGAGTGACTGCTGTGTGGCAGGCACTATCACTTAGGATACTTGGGTTAAGGGCCGCGGGTCCTAGCTGGGCCCCTGATCCAGGGACGGCGGAGTCCAATTTAATTGTTTAATTTGCCTTTTGTCGCACTTCCGGTTCAATGCTGGGGTTTGTTCTAGGTTCCACTCTCTTACTCTACTTACACGGAAAACTACTAAGATACAGGACTCACAATATATTTGCTTTTTTTTAAACCGCGATGAGTCCTTCCATTGCATCCTCCATCCCATTGATACTTGCATCCACATGAACTAAATAGTTGTGAGTAATATAGGGATTGGTGTTTACTACTATCTATATCGTTGTGTGCTAAGTGAATGCACGATTATAGATTTCGAAAGGAGGATATAAGCTGTGTCGAGACTCGAGACATTGGTCAAGCCAGCCAACTGCCGGGAAGTTTGCGGGAGCCCGCCAAGCTAGGCCATGTTTACCGCTTGCTCTCAACCTTCGGTGAGTCCCCACCTGGTCGAGGCGAGCTGCAGGATTCGACGCGAGTCAATCGTGGCTGTGTATCCGGTATCGACAATGCGTGAACCGGCCCCTCCTTACGATACAGAGCCCAAGGTCACTAAGCCAGCATGCTTCAGACAACCGCGTTGTCA